AAGAAGTATACTGCTGAGGGGAGCATCGGGCGGGTCAGGAGAGGTCTGCCACGCCATGTGGATCTCCTCCGGGGCAGGCGGGGATTGAACTCATGAGGAAGTGGCTTAATCTTCTTAGTGCAGTGCTATAACCCGCTGCGCTACCAGGGAGGGCCAATGCTCTTATTTTTAAACAGCTTTTCTCTCCACTGCTCAGAAGACCTGATATGAATGTCAGGATCAAGATTTCTGGTCATTCCCCTTTTGCTCTCTGGCCTCTACCTGTGCCCAGAACAGATAGCAATGCTGACAAAAATAATTTAGCCCTTACTATGGACAGGCCCAACTCTGTTCTAAGCACTTACAATTTGTTGTGACTCAACTTCCCATAACAACTTCATGAAGAAGAAATTATTATTATCCTTGTTTATAGACAAGGAGATGGAAGCTCACAAAATGGTACAAAGAAGTCGCCTTTGTAAACCTCTTACAAGTTTCCAGATTCCTGTCATGTGTATCTTCATAGATGGCCCACATTTTCATGTCCTACTCCCTGGAAAGTAAATTGGGCAAGTTATTTTTTGTGTGTAGTGGCTGAACACTTATGTTTGACTCAGATTAATACATAACATAAATTATTTAAAACACAATACCAATAAATGGACTCCAGTTTAAGGGCTTGCTCTGTCATCAGAAGAGAAGTAATGCTTACAGATGCAGTCTGGTCAACGCGAATCTAAAGATTAGTATAAAACACAGTGAAACACTGAAGAGCTTACTTGCGGGCAGCAAGTGATATTTAAATTGTCACTTGTGTGTCATCAGGCAGATGAGAAAGGAAAGGGCTCCGGGTGGAGAGACAATGACGAGCACAGAGGGCTTTCCGGGAGAGGGCCCAGCTCTGGGAATGGCCTGCTTTCTAGGCCAGCCCTGGCTTACTTCCTCCCCAGTTACTTCCCCACCACTGTCAAGTCCAGCTAATCGCTCCTTCCACTACCACCCCCGAGTCTGTGGGTCCAGCAAATAAGTGTTTCTTTCCATCCCACCCTCTCAGAGTGTGAGCCCATCGAGGCCATTGCCAAGTTTGACTACGTGGGCCGAACAGCCCGAGAGCTGTCCTTCAAGAAGGGGGCATCCCTGCTGCTGTACCAGCGGGCCTCGGATGACTGGTGGGAAGGCCGGCACAACGGCATCGATGGCCTCATCCCCCATCAGTACATCGTGGTCCAAGACACGTACGTTGGGCCCTCTGCACCTTTTGGGGTCCCTGGCTATGATGAGGGATTTGAGACTTGATTTCTGGAGCGTTAAGACAATGAGGGAGACCAGCCCCCAAGGGGTACCCACATAATCCTTGTGACAGTTCCTTGAAGGGCCCACAGCCCCAGTGGAACTTTGTTTCTTAATGTCTCACTCTGTTTCACTTCAGGTCACTGCCTCCCCACCCCCCCACCCCGACCCATCACCTTGGGTCTTGCCAGCAAGCCAGCCCTCAGCCATACTTACACCTGATGAGTGCTAACCAGAGAGTGTTGTTGGGGCTCATATATTTCCTTTCTGGAAAGATCAGATGGGGAAACATTTTTGGTTTCTTTTTTTTTTTCTTTAAGCATTGTGCTCACCCCATTCTGTTGGGCCAAGGATGGCTCTTTTCCATCTGCAAATAAAATGATGAGTTACTTTTCTAGGAGAAATCTAGTTTACATAACCTTGTGCCAGTGACCCAGTTCATTTAACCCAGATAAGGTCAACTGGGAAAAGATGGGGGACAGAGGGGAGAGGAAGTCTGGGACCAGAGTGAGCAGCGAGGTCCCATCCTGGAGACATCGCCTGGGGCTCTTGGTTGGCCCCCAAACCTAGAGGTTACCTACCTGGGCAGGAAGGCATCACCCCTCAGGCCCCCCTGCCTGCCTGCCCTCCCCCACCTCTGCCCCAACTCCCTTCCCTCAGTATAATGCTGTCAGTGCTTTTAGTCCTTCCCTTAATATTATTTTTTAAAGGTTGATTTCCTGAGTGAGTCTGCACCCTCCCAGCCTCTCCCTGGCTCGTTCTGCGGGGAAATCCTCCCTCTGTTGATAACATCGCCAACCTGGTGGCATCTGTGCGTGGACAGAACTCTCCCAAATTTAGCATTATGACTTCACTACAATGGAGAGAAGATGAATTGTGGGGGAGAAGGGGCTTTCTTTGTCATCAGTAGTCAGAGGGGCCAGGAGAGCAGTGGCGAGACCTGGGACCAGCTGGACGCTCTAAGCGGGAACGACAGAGCTGCTGTCCGGCCTCCGCCCGGCCTCCTGGAGCTGCTGCAAGCGCCTGGCTTACCCGCAAGCTCGGGACCTCAGCAGATAAACCACCCTGGACGCACAGCCTCCTTCCCAGGAGGTGGCCCCACCACAGTGGCCCCAGGAGAGCAGCGTGGGGGAGAAGGCAGCTTCCTCGCATCCAAGTGTCCCCTAGCTCAGCTTTCTGGAGGAGCTGAGGATCCCACAGAAGCCAGTGGGAGTATTTATTTTTATTTAAAGCACCCTCCAGAGGCCATAGGCACCCTCGCCTCTGCCCCCAGTGCCAGCCCTGCCAGGAGTCGCTGCCACAGAGCCACTGTGGGTCGCGTGTGTGTCGGGGGGCCATCTTGCCGATTTAACGCTGCTTTTTGTGTTGTTGTTTCCCTTCCTGCCTGCCTGCCTGCTCCTTCTCCCCCAGCGAGGACGGTGTCGTGGAGAGGTCCAGCCCCAAGTCTGAGATTGAGGTCATTTCTGAGCCACCTGAAGAAAAGGTGACAGCCAGAGCGGGGGCCAGCTGTCCCAGTGGGGGTCATGTAGCTGATATTTATCTTGCAAACATCAACAAGTAAGCTCTGCTTTTCATTTTCTGCTCCCCTGAATGACTTGCAACACCCAGCCTCACCCCCTGGCCTAACCCCCTCCTTTCCTGTGTTGCGCGTAGTGCTCCGGCTCCCCGGCCTCACAGTTCGCATGTACTCATTGCTGCTTCAAGGCAGACAGGGCTGAGGCAGCAGGGCCAGGCCTCAGCCAGTGGCTGCCTGCCGGGAGGGCACTGAGGCCTGTCCCGCAGCGTCTGTCAGCTCAGACCTTCCCGGCCGCCGGCTGCCAAAACCTTGGCCACTTTATGTGACCAGGTTCCGCACTGTTTCTCAGATGTGCCTTCGCTCTCAGACAATGGTCTCTGATGGCCTCCTTGGCCCTTGTCTGTCTGAAGATCTGAGGTCTCTCGCGGCTTTACCTGGGCTCCTCTCTGCCCAGGTGGCTCTTTGACATCATGTGTCTGTTTCTGCCCTGTCCCGCATTCACACCTGAGGAGGAAAGGAGCACGGTGCCCCCAGGAAAGCTGTGTCCTGAGCTCTTTGTTCATTGCTTAGCTCCCCACCCCCTTCCCTTCTGTCCTTTCACATCGGCAGAAACGACGTCCGTTTCCTTAGTGCTTCAGCCCTCTGTCCCCCACTGCCCTGTCAGCCCGTGTAGCCCCCTCCTGTCCAGCAGGCTCTCACTGCGCCCCAGCTTTCACTGTGGCTGTTAGCAACGTCCAGGGTTTTACCTCCACCCACACCCGATCTGGCTGTCTGGAGGGATTCCACGCCGTGTGCTGCCGCCTCCCTAGAGACATTCAGGTTATTGGAGAAGTAATCTCATCTCAAGGGGCCAGACACCCAGTCCCAAAGCCTACAGACCTCTTTCCGCCAGACCCTGAAACCTGGCGCAGTGCCAGGGGATGACGAGCCCCAGGGCGCTCCTGATGCATTCGGACTGGACATGATACACAGTTTCTATTCCCCTCTGACTCTGGAGGAATGAAATGATTTGCACATTGAAAACCTGTTAACCGTAGCCTCTGGACACTGAAACTGGAAGGAGAATAAAAGATGCTTGTTGTTTTTAAACTGCACCAGGTCGCCCAGATCTCTTGGCTTTTTTCCAATCAGACGGCAGCAGGGGAGCGGTCGGGGCACGTGGCTCTTTTCCATCTCTTCCACCCTCCAGTTAGTCAAGTAGCTTGTTCAGCTAATTTAGTCAGTGTAGTTATAATTTAAGGCAAACCAGTAAAAAAAAAAAAAAACGAGGATTTTATGTATTTCCCTCCAGCGTATTGTCCCGCTGGGAGGGCAAGCTAGTGAAAATAACTGAGCTAATCATTTTTTTTTCCTTATTTACAAGTCTGTGTTGATTATACACCTATATCATAAGGTCTTACACCTATAATTAACCCAGAAACCAAGTGGGATTGGTGGAGAGACTGTTCAGTGAATTAGTTAGCTACATATTCTTAAACCGTCATCTATTTGATGCCATTTGTACAAAGGAATTGTAGAGAACATCTGTTTTGCAAAGTCATGGCAGGTCCTGGAACCCCCTGCCAGGCAGTGTCAAAACAGGGGTCTGAGAGGACATTAGCCGGGCAGTGGAGAGGGCAGCCCGCTCGCCCTGCCCTGCTGAGGACACAACTGCCTTCCGGCCTGGCTTCCTGCCCACCCCAGCCTCCCAAGCACCTTCCCCCTCCTGAGTACCCCATTCTCTCCCACCTGAGCCTTCGCAACTACTGTCCTCCACGTGGCCAGCTTCTCTCCCTCCAAGACATAACCTGAAGGTCTGCTCTTGAGGAAGCGTTTCTGAGAGGCTGAGCTCCACACACTGGTTCTCTATTCCCAGAGCAATTTGAAAAGCTCTGGGACTCAGTCTTGCTCAGATCCCCCAACCAGTCTGAACTCTTCCATACCAGAAGCCCTGACTTCCTCTCTCCACATCCCCAGGCCTGGCCTGGGGCCTGGCGCCCCAGACACACTACGAAACTGCCTCTGCAGTAATTTTGGAAAAAGGAAATTAGCCAAGAGTCACTAGGATTCAGCTGTTCAGTTTAACTTCCACACAACCGAGCATGTACTGTTGTGCAAAGCACGATGCTGGCTATTCAGACAAACGGGGTGGCCCTGGTCTCAGCGCAACCCGAGGCAGGTGCCAGAGAGACAGGGCAGCACCGTAGATGCTCTGGAGGAACAGAAGGGGGCGGGGGGGTCGCCTCTGCCTGCCTTTGGGGTTGGGGTGCCAGAGGAGACTTTGCAGAGGGAGAGTCATTTCGGCAGAGCTTCCTAAAATTCTGACATCCTTTGTCCGCTGGACAATGGCTGATGCCTCAGACTGAAACTGCTGGGGCGGTGGGACGGACAGCTTCGTGGGGTGGCTGCAATGCCCCTGCCCCAGGGGCAGCTGAGGAAGCCTCACCACTGAGCAGGAGGAGGCCGGGCTTAGAGCCGCCCCTGCTGCATGGGCTGGCCCCTCCTCAGAGGCCTGCCCTCCTTCCCTTCTTTGAACCTAAACTCCCATAAGCAGAGTGAAGATCAGAGCTGCCCAGCCCCCACCCCAAACCAGAAGGCCACAGCTTCCTAGTAAGGTTCCAAGAGAAAATGAAATGATTCCACAGCAGGTGACACCCCTGTCAGCAGGACACTGCCTGAGTATTTCGTGAACCGTGGAGGCGTGAGAGGTTCTGATTCAGCCCCCCAGTGCCCTGTATTTCCACCCTAAGAAAATGCACACACCTGACCCTCCCTCCACAGCAGTGCAGCCTCTAGAAAAATCCTCTGTACGTGTCGCAGAGTCAGCAGTGACAGTCTCTCACCAGTGCCCTAAGCGCCCCGTCTTATATTTGGATTCAGAAATGCTTACATCCAGAAAAGTCGACTCTCGGCTTACCCACGCACCCTGTCTCCTTGGTGGTGGCGAGAATTCCTCTTCTCCCAGGGCCTTAGGTTTCTGATCACCGCAAGTCGCGAGGGGCCTTCTCGTGCATCTGTCTCCCATTCGAAACTTTCACATAACCTCCACTTTCCCCTGACAGCACCTCACATCCTGCGCACTCAGCGCCCACGACCGCCAAGTGAGTATGCATCTCCTGTGCTGGGGGGAGGCAGGGAGCAGGCGCTTGGCGGATACAAAGAGGGCTCCGTGGCCCTCTCCGCCGTGTCCCTGGGCATCTGTCCTGCTTCCTCAGAGCCAGACGCCCTGATCACACTGCCCTTTCTGTTTGTGATTGAAGGCAAAGGAAACGGCCGGAATCTGGGAGCATCCGGAAAACATTTCGGAGCGACGGCCACGGGCTGAGCAGTCCCTTGACTGACTCTGCCTCCCCGGGGGTGGGGGCTGGCTGCCGTCCATCCTCACAGCCCATCCTGAGCCAGAGCCTCCCCAAGGAGGGGCCAGATAAGTGTTCCATCAGCGGGCACGGGAGCCTCAACTCCATCAGCCGCCACTCGTCCCTGAAGAACCGGCTGGAGAGTCCCCAGATCCGGAAGGCAGTGACGGCGGGAAGGTCAAAGAGCTTCAATAATCATCGGCCCATGGACCCTGAGGTCATTGCACAGGTAACCGGGGGCTCTGCCCAGACATTGCAGGGGTCTGCACTGTCACTCCGCCTGGAACACCCAGGCCAGTCACAACGTGACCCAAAGCAGAGGTGCTTTGTCTGTTGCACACTGAGTCCAGGAGCTGTCATACACCTGGACCGGCGAGGACAGCTTTCCAAAGAACTTAGTGACCTCCTCAGGGTGCCCTGGCTTCTCCCCAAAAGGTGCTTAAAGACAAAATCAAAGACTTAGGCTTCTTGGTCTACTGTAGGCTGCTTGCAGGGCTAGTGTTCTTTCTAAAGCTGTCAGTTATAGGTTGAGTTTCCCAATAGATTCCAAGTGGGTTTCAGGGCTTCAGACCCTAGTCCAAGACCTTTGAGGCTCCCCAAGTGATGCCCTGACCTTGCAGGGATCTGCACTGTCATTCCACCTGGGACGGCCCAAGCCAGTCACACAGCAGAGGTCATTCTGCTCACATTTTGATATCACTCTGACCGTCCGCTCACCCCATTTCCTGAGGCTAATTTCTGTCCCTAGTGGCAGGTTGGTGATCACAGATAGTCTGCTCCTGGTTTTGAAGGCCCCAAAAACCTGCCTCGAGAGTGTCAAATACCAGGAGGGTGTCTAGCCCCATCTCCAGTTGCAGGGGAGACAAGCTACCACTTACAGGGCCTGCCTGCATGAATGTGTTACACTGATGAGTCTCTGTTTTCCATGAAATATCAGAGATCCAACCCTACCTCTAAAAATCCGGCTGCCGGGGCCACTCCAAGCAGTCCACTCAGACGCCTCTCCCAAGTCTATCATTTTCATTAGACCAGGTAGGAACTGAGGGCTCGCTGTGAGCCTTTTATCTCTCAGCCTGGTTGAGATTCTCCTTACCCCACCTTCCAGGGGGTGCAGAGGCGGGGTAAGGTCTGTTGGCTTAAATGTGGTACTCTGCTTAGGGGCGGCGGCACTGGCAAGCCCGGCGTGAGGCTGTGGGCCTGAGCTGTCTTGGCTTCGCTAGCCTCCTGTTTCTGTGCCTGTTCTTCAGCTCTTGGCTGCAATCTGCCTTGCGCCCTGGGGATCCTCCCAGCTCCCTCTCTGACCAGGTGTTAATAGAAATGTCAGGATAGCTGCACAGCTAGCACAGGCACTAGTTCCAGGGAGGGACAAGAGACAGACCTGCCTGAGCACCTTTGAGGTGTGAGGACATCGTGGGGATGAGTGTGCTTAAAATACTGTCAGCAGGAAGCATGATCACCCTGTAGGACAAAGAATCAGCCCAGAAACAAGCCCAGTACTGAAGGAGGAGCCCTGTTGGGGTGTAGGGGTGCCAGGCTCCTATGGGATATGGGGAAAGAGGGAGGGAGCTGGGAGGTTTCCCTGGGAGGTAGCTGGTTGGCTGCATAGAACGGTTCTTGGGTTCTGCCTTGAGGCCCCCCGACCCCCCCCCCCCCAAGCTGGTCTGTCCCTTCCTGGGTCTTGAGTGTGTTCCTCTGTCACTTGCTGGTGACTCACCTGTGTGGGCTCTGGCTCCCCCTGCTGGTGACTCTCCTGCCCCTTCATGGTGATGGGTAGTTGAAAGGGGCCTCATGAATTTGTGCCCTCCCATGGGATGGGGCAGGGAGGGGGGGCCCTGTCCTGATGGATCTTCAGGGCCAGGGCTCCTGAACCCTTCCTCAGCCCTTGAAGCATAAGAGAACAAAGGTCATACTTTAAATCTAGCCACTTTTTCAATTTTACATCTATTTTACATCATTCTTCACTTTTGTCCGATGTATGCTTTCTCTTCTCAGGTGTAGTCCCCATAAAACTCCCACAACCAATTCACCCCTGTCCCATCACCAGAGTCCTGATGCTCTTCCCACCCGTTTTGATCCCTCTCCCTCTCCATGCTGCAGAATGTCTCTGATTTAGAGTTGCCTGTTGATTTTGCCAATCTAGCAACTTTTTAAAAAGGAGTTTATTATGTACAATTTCAAGCATATAGAAAAGTGGAAGGAATTGGATAATGGACCCTACTCCTGGCCACTCAGTGTCTGCCCTCCCCCCGGGATCATACATCCCTTCATCCAGAAACGCTTCTGTCTCTCTGAATCTCAGCATCCTTAAGTGTCATCTCAACCTCTAAAGGAAAAGCTCGTGATAATGAGAATCTCTGTCTGCTTCTCCCCTCCCCCACCCCACTCCCAGAGTTCATATGTTCAAGGGTTTTGATCAAGTCCAGCCATCGCCTTACAGTCTGTGTCCTAATTTGGCTGGTGTTCTTGAAATAGGGTCCTCACGATTTCACCCCACATTTGCCTCTCCCCGTCCTTTTTCCTGTTTTGCAGGATATTGAGGCAACTATGAACTCTGCCCTGAATGAGCTGCGGGAACTGGAGCGGCAGAGCAGCGTCAAACACACCCCTGATGTGGTACTGGACACCTTGGAGCCCCTCAAAACCTCCCCAGTGGTGGCCCCCACATCAGAGCCCTCCAGCCCCCTGCACACCCAGCTCCTCAAGGACCCCGAGCCCGCCTTCCAGCGCAGCGCCAGCACCGCAGGGGACATCGCCTGCGCCTTCCGGCCTGTCAAGTCTGTCAAAATGGCTGCCCCAGTCAAGCCCCCTGCCACGCGCCCCAAGCCCACTGTCTTCCCCAAAACAAATGCCACTAGTCCTGGTGTCAACTCATCAGCTTCCCCGCAGTCCACAGACAAGTCTTGTACTGTCTGAGGAATGTAATTTAATTGTTCTAGAAGGGGACTAGAGCGACTGTTATTAAAATCTTCCTATTTAACTTGCTTGGGGACTTAAATTAAAAAATTAGATTCTCATTTGTACATGCCGGAATTAGCCTCCCCATCACTCAAAACCATGAGAATGAAGCCCTCATTACCTCCCTGCCCCTCCCGCTGCCCCTGTCTCCCTGTCGCCCCCCTTGAAGTGCTCAGCCAGCGGTGCAAGCTTTCTCGTAGGTTAGCCAGCGATGTCTTCAGCCTCGGGCACTGTGGAGCCTGGCGCGGCAGGGCCTGGGGACGCGGGCGCCTGACCAGGTGACTGCTGACACCGGCGCCCAGTGGCACTTGTTTTGGGTACTGATTATAGCGAGTCATATATAGCCCGTTCTTTGTGTGTGCTCCCCCCTACCCCGCCCCCTCACACACACACACTCCCTCTCTCTCCCCTTCTCTCCCTCACCTAGACTCTAGTCCCCTTCCCCAAGCCCTCTCCTGGTCTGACAGCCTGTCCGCTACCGTGCAGTTCACACAGCGGCCACCAGGGGTCTCTTTCCGTTCCGCATCTTGTTCTGTCTGGCCAGAGAACTTCTCCATCACATGAGATTGAGCAGGAGGGAGCCGTTCCTGCCATTTGTGGGGGGGGTTGGGGCTCACTCAGTCTTCTTTCGTTGGTGTGAATAGTGTTTGCTTTTGCTCTGCTCCATCCTCTAGAACTATAATCCCAATCTTACTACGGGACTTCTGAGGTTTTTCTGAATGTATAGCCATTTCTTGGATTCCTAGCTTTGTCTCTGATGGACCGTTTTCCATACAAGACATTTTCCTGTACAAAGACAGTTTTATAAGTGGTTCCTTTTAGGGTAAGAAGCGTTTGAGAGAGTTTTACTATGTTTATGGCAGGTTTGGAAAAGGTAAGAAATGAGTCCTTCCTCCCACTTCTGGGGACACTTAAGACATAATGTTCACCGACCTATTAAAAAATAAAATTCACCTTGCCAAATTGTTCCCAGATGAACAAAACTTCTCACCCTGGTATTGTTACTCCACGAGGGCTCTCTTCAGAGAGCAACGAGGGCTTCGAAAGCCCTAGGGACAGTGAAGAGAGACTCTGTCCCTTAAAGCCACTTTTCTCCAAAAAAGGACAACTAAGGGAGCTTTGGCCACATGGCTGCCAAAGTCTTCCCAAGGACAGAATTTGAAGAAAATAAAAAATAAGATGCCGAATGGCCCTCCTTTGGCCTTTTTCCCTGGCTCCCCTCCGTCAGGGAAAATGCCACACACGTCTTTAATCCAGTCCCCAAACCCAGTGCCTGTGGGCCGGCTCCCCGCACCTGCTCTCCCCGAAGGACCAGGACTGGGGCGCCCTCCCCAGGCTCGTGGGTACCAGACAACTGCTTGAGTTAAAGCAAAAACCCATTCCTCTTCTGTTTTCTGGTTTTCAAACTGCACTTTTAACCATCATATTTTCTGTAGTTCAGGAGAGATGCCAAGTTGCTGTAGAGATAGGAAAATTTGAATTTCCTTTTGTTAAGCCTAGAAGATCCTCTTGGGACCAACATTTTCAAGTTGGTAGCTGACTCTGGAGAGTGGCGAGGTATTCCTCACTCTGTATGAGGGAGCGTTGTAGGAAATGGCTCGTTGGGGGAATAACCTACAACACCAGGAAAACCAGTCCAAGAGAGAGAAGCGAAGAGCTCCCCTGAGAAAGCAGGTTGGCCCCTGTGACGCGCCACTGTCTGCGGCCTCTTGGCCTCTGTCGCTCTGCGTAGCAGCCTGTCCTGGTCTTTCCGCTGGACTTACACAGGCCTGTGCCAGCCGTGGGGCTTTCGTCCCCAAGGCCTGTTCCTTGCCGAAAATGAAACCCCGTCCTTTACTTTACATTCCTCTGCTCCACTCCTCCAAACGGGTGCCCCCGCCCACCTTCCCCTCTGCAGCACACTCCTAAGAGAGCGAAAGCCACGCTCTCTGAGCGACCACACGTTAGGCCTGTTCTGTTGCTCCTGCCTTACTCTCAGCCCTGCTCACGACTGTGTCCACCTCCCCTGGGCCAGGGTCCGCCTGCTGATTCACATCATAAACTGAGCAAGGTGTGAGTGGGCGCCCTTCCCCAGCTCCGGGGGGCCAAGTTGTCTTCCCTTCTCTGGTGCTCCTGCGCCTATGGGTTGGTCCTTTCGAGGGGACTAGGAACCCCTAAAAGGAGAGTCGTTCTCAGCAGCACTGTTGCCGTCAACTGGAATCCGGGTTGCGTGATGCAATTTCTACAAGAAAAGCCAAAAGGAGCTGCCCGGGCTGGGCTGACCAGGAGACCGGGCTGACCAGGAGACTGGTCTTCCTCAGACTCACTTGCCTAAACCAGCACAATGCTTCCCAAAGCCCACTGAGCACCCCAAGGAGCAGGTTCATCGCTTGCTGTGGACTCTGAAGGGGCAGTCTTTGGGGAGCAAAGGTGGGCGGGAGCCACCAGCATCCCAATTTGGAAAACAGGAGTTTGCAGCTGACAGCCTGTAAACTGGAAACACTGGTCTCAGCCAACCTCCTCAGGGCACCCCAGTTTCTCCCCAAGGAGAGGAGGAGCGATAATGCCAGCAGCAAGATGAACAGACCACTGGAAGGCTGGGTGTGTGTCCTTCACCTTCAGAAGAGAAGTTAGATCTTCCAGGGAATTGCAATATTGTGGCGTCTGACTTGTATGTCACATTTGTGTAAAATGGTATATTCTTTAAAATAGTGTTGATAACTGGAATATTGTATGTATGCTTGGAGATGCTTTGTGTGAACTTAAGACTGTCACAACACATGTTGGATTGGGGAAAATCCAAAGCACAACTTCAAAATAAAATACGTTTTTAGGTTTCGATGCCGCAGTTCGTCTACCTTCTCTGCTCCCCGAACGCTCCAAGCTGGGAGTCCACTGCCCAGGAGGGGGTTGGCTCCATCTGCTCTGAAGGATCCTGCCGAGCAACAGGAGGAGTGGAGTGGCCTCGAGCCAGCCGCCTTCTCCCTCCCGGCGGCCACAGCACAGGTGCATTCAGAGTGTGCATTTTTCCCCGGCCTTTGCATCTAGCCCACATGAGGAAACTCAAGAGGTTCTGTCGGAAGTCTCCGGGTTCCCCATTGGGCAGTGTGTTGCCATGAGAACCGCTTCCTTCAGAGAACCCACCTTCTCTAGCTCTGCTCACTTCCTCCTCTGGAACAAGCGGGGCCTGCGCAGTGGCTCCAAAGCATGGCAGTCTCAGCCATGGGCTTGCTTTCACCATCAAAGTGCTGAATCTCTGCCCAGGGTAACCCCTAACCTACATGCTTAGTGGGGGGTATAGCCGGTGTACAGGAAATGCTTTTTCTCCTTTAGTTTTGGGGTGAAGTTATTCAGAGTTACTCAGCTCTCTCTTAAAATGTACCCTACATCCCCTGGGGCCACACTTTTAAGTGGGCCTGTGCTTGGTCTGAATGAAGCCACTGGGCTGGATCACACGTGTTGTGTACTTGCCCAGGAATAGTGCCCACAGGGACTGCATCTCACCCCGGGCCAGGCCCCGTGTCCTCTTTAATGTCTCCCTCTGTTCTCTGTGTATCCTTTAGTCAACTCTTTTGCCCCCAACCTGTCCTCCTCGTCCCCAACCCCTCAATGATAGAGCTATTGATATTCCTTGAGCTTCACTCGCTGGCCGCTTGGTCTTGGGAAAGCCATAGCTGAGGCTACTGTGCACCTGCTCCGCAGGTTCACTTCCAGAGACGGCACTTCCGGAGATAGCACTAGGCCGCGCAGTGTGCGCTGTGCGATGGAGGTGAAGGAGCAGACACCCCAGGGCCTTTCCAGGGGGCCCCAAAGCGTCGGTGGGCTTTGGGGAGTTTCATAGCTCATCTATTCTAAGGGGCGCTCCATGGAAACACGAGACAATGAAATAGTTGAACGCAGGTCCTTCCATCCTAATCAAAACCAAAAATAGAGGCCAGGTTGGTGTGAATTTAGAAAGCAGTCTTAGTGATTACGCGATTATTTACCTCCATAGGTATGTGACGCTTGCTTTCCTCTGGGTTTGCAACACTGGCAGATTACCTACGCCAGAGGCTCCCCTGTCAACCCAGAGATGCACATCCCTGCGGCCGAGTAAGGTCACATGCTGCTGACAGAAGATACAGATACTGGAGCTTGTTTCTTTTCTTTATTTAATATTTATTTTGTACAAGACTGGGGTGTAGGTAAAAGGGGTGAGCTGACTCACCAGAGACTGTGGGGAGCAGAACAGGCAGATATACTGAAATACTGCTGAGGGGAGCAGTGGGGAGACAAGAGGAGTCAGCTGCACCCTGTGGCTTAGCTCCCTGGGCAGGAATTGAACTCTGACCATCGTGGTGATAGCTCAAAGACTCAACCCCTAGGCCACCAGGGAGGCCTCTGACTAGTTTCAGGGACAACAGATAAATAAGCAAGATAAATGCTATTCTAATAATACATGAAGTACTGTGACGAGAGTGAGAGCTTGAAAGGCCACTAGCAGGGAGAGGAGCAGCCTGGCTCATCAAAAGTTGATACTACTATTGGACATCCGAGTAGAAATACCAAATACTCCTCAACATGGAGTCTGAGAGAGACATCATGCCTGAAAGCAGACTTAAAATGCAATTAAGGGCCCTCATTGGTGGCGCAATGAGTTAAGCACAGCACTATGAAACTAGCTGCAGCCGCTTCAGCACAAGTTCAATCCCTGGCCAGGGAGGTGACCCACATGGCACAGCGACTTCTCCTGACCCACCACTGCCCCTCAGCAGTGTATTTCAGTGGATCTGCCTGTTCTGCTCCCCACTCTGCCCCTGGTGAATCCTCTCATCTCCCCTGCACCTCTAGCCTGTACCCCAGTTCTGTATGCATTAATAAATCTTTTAAAAATAATAAATTTTAAAAATGCAGTTAAGTTATGAAATTCCCAGGAAGAACATGTCAAGGGAAAAACAAGATCCCAATGGCTGGAAATCCATTAGAGAAGGCGCCAGCACAGAAAGGGGAGCAAGTGACAGAGGCAGCTGGCTGGAAAGGACAGTGTCACAGAAAGAGAAGGAATTGTTTCAGCGAGCAAGGAGGTCTGGCTGGTGGGAGAGTGAGGCCAGCTGGAGAGGTGACCATCATCCGTGACTGTGACCTCAGCCGGTCAGCAGAGGGGGTGAGGTGGTTGGAGTGGGCTGGGAAGCAAGTGGAAAGGAGCTCTGGGCAGCTCAGCTGAGGGCATTGCTTTCTGTGAGGTGCTTCTAGAAGGGCCGAGAGCAGCGAGGCTTTTGTTTATGGTGTGGGCGGTGTTCATGTACCTTTGCTCAGGGCGGGCTCTACTAGGACAGGAAGAAAGAGCTCGAAGAAGTGAAGAAGCAGGCACAGGGTGCGAGTGCCAGATAGGCTAGGCCCCTGGAAGAGGCACTTCCTGCATCTCCCAGGAGGGAAGGTGCCAGTGGGCGAGAAGATGAGGGAGCCCTCTTTTGCTCCCTTTGTTGCAGGGAAGTTAAAGGCAGAGGTGCCAGTGAGAGTGTGGAGGGGATGGGCACTGGAGAGCTGAGTCCAGAGAAGGGGTGAAATGTTCTCTCGCAGAGGCTGACATCTGGTCAGGCTCGGTGCTGCTTCTCTTTGCCCCACCAGCCCAATCCTTCCTGTCCCCTCCCCTTCAAGGCTGGGCAGTGAGACAGCAGGACCAGTAGGCACCCTCACATCTACTCAGGGCCTGCCTATTTTGTGCCCATACCCACCCTATGAGGAAGGCTACAGTCACACAGTAGACAGGGCGATCAGGGGTCAATGTCCAAAATGGCACAGCTCCTGGCCTCCCTTGGCAGAGGGCAGGTGGAGTTTTTCCTGCCTCTGGATGGGCACTTCTGTGTCTGACGTCTCAGAAGCGCTTGGGAAAACAACGTGAGGCCCTGACAGACTGCCTCACAGGTGACACAGTGGCCCTGATGCCCAGCTGGGCCAGCAGTTAAAAGCCAAAAGGAATATGAAGCTATCAGCAGCCACTGCAGCATGGGTTCAAGCCCAGCCAGAGAGGTGATCCACAGGCACAGCAGACCTCTCTATCCCGCCCGCTGCTCCCCTCAGCAGTGTACTTCAGTGCATATGCCTGTTCTGCTCCCCACTCTGTCTCTGGTAGATCCTCTCCTGCCCCTGCAGCCCAGCTCTTGTATGCATAAATAAATAAAATAAATCTTTTACCCAAATGCCCAAAAGTAGATGACTGGATTAAAAAGATGTGGTACATATACAAAATGGAATATTACTCAGCAACCAAAAAAAAGAAACACATGTCTTTTGCAGCAACTTGGATGGAGCTGGAAAAGATCATGCTTAGTGAAATAAGCCAGAAAGAAAAAGAGAAATACTGGATGGTTTCACTCATAGCAGAAGCATAAAGGACCAAGAGGGAAAAAATAATAATGAGCAACTATATACCAGAGACATTTTACGGGGGTGGAATGGGAAATGCGGTCAAAGGGGAGGGGGGTGCACAGGACTGTGGTGATGGCGCACGGGGACTCAGTGATGGGAAACCTATGGGGATTACAATTGAGATGGAAAAAGGCACAAAAAAGAGGTGAAAATAAACTATAATAAATAAATCTTTTTTTTAAAGCCAAAGGAAGACAGACATTTCTTTGTTCAAGACCTGACCTCACAGAGGCTGCCCAGTAAACCCTCATCTGTCACCACACACTCCCCAGCCCACCCCCTGTCCGCTAGTTTCTGGCCTCTCTGGCCTGAGCCATCCACCTAACAAACCACACTTTACTCAGAGTGCTCTTCCCACAGCCTGGGGTGCTTTACCTCCAGTCCCCTCACCTCTTCTAAACAGCCTCCCTCCAAAGTCTGGTGCAGCGTCCTTGCTTTCAACAACCCCCTCTTGCCCACATTGCCTGGTGACCCATATAATATCTCAGAGCATTCACCAGGTGTCCCCAACCCGGAACACTGGGTGTTGCAAGACGGTCCCCCTTGGAATCTGCATAGTACCTGCTTTGGAGCAGATGCTAGACACACACTCTGGGAAAGAGATTGTGCTTGCTGGAGAGAGCAAATGAGGGGTGTTGATGGGAACTGACGGGTTCTTCCGGGAAAGTGGGTGGACATTTAAGAGTGAACTAGGTTCTATTGCTTAAACAACATGACCCATTTCTCACCCTAATTGCGTGTCCTCTGTGGGCCAGCAGGGGGCGCTGTGCTCATGACAGCGGCCCAGGGCCCCAGCTGCAGCGCGGTCAGCACCTGTCTGCGGGAATCTCACTGTCGGTGGGCAGGAGGAAGGGGGTTGCACAGCAATTAAAGGGTTTAGATGGGAACTCTCAAGGCCCCACCCAATGAGGGAGCCGAGGGCGTGCAGTTCTAAGTTTCCAGGCCTGTGGGAACCCTGGAAGAAGAGGGAAGCACTAGGTCTCCCTGGGCCTGCTGAGAGCTAGTAGTCAGCACACTCCCGCGCTGCAGCGCCCCTGGTGTAGACGGCCCGCAACCACCTCCAGCAGAACAGCGTGTCTTGGGCTGGGCTCACAAGCTGGTGTCACTGGGCTGGAGACGGAACTGGCAGAGGAAACCACCAGGTGTGGCCCTGGGAAAGTCCCTCAACATTCTCTAGAAACATGGAATTTCCTGGTTTTAACCATTTCTTATCCAATGGCCACCATGGCGCTGACCCAAGCCAGACAGGCCTCTTCAGCCTCCTGGGGAATTGATTGGAGACTTTGAGTCCTACTTTGAAGCTGACAACCCAGCAGTCTTGAAGACTGTGTGAAATGATCAGGCGTGTGGTCCTCAAGGCCTGTCAGACTCGGGCGCCGAAGGGCAGCTTTCCTCTCTCACCCTGCAGCTCGGTATTGCTCAGCCCCAGCAGCAGCAGACACAGGGAGGTGTGTGTGTGTGTGTGGGGGGGGGTGCTTGGAGATCCACTGCCCAACGCCTGCACCCCAGCCTGTTTCTGCACCCCTGCCCAGTTTCTCAGGCATTTCCAAATTCCTCATCCACACAACCAAGGGGGTACATGTTGTTATGCCGGACGGAGCCTTGGATGGGGAGCTTGGGAGGGGTCTGTGCTCCAGACCGCCCAGGAAGGCCCATTTGGCTGCAGTGCTGGCTCTGGGCCCCGGGGACTCCCTGGGAAGATGAGTCAGACCCACTTCTCCTTAAAGCTGTGGGGCCAAGATCCTGGACCTCCCCAGGACTCCTGGGTGCGGGCCCCACCCACTCGGGTGTAACTTGCCCGACCTGCTCTGTAGATGGGGCAACCCTGAGTATCCCTGCGGCAGTGAACTGGGGAGATGCCAACACAGTGGCTTGTGCCCCCCTTCCCCCTCCCCCCCTTCAGCGAGGAGGCCCCAGCCTCTGTGGGCAGACTCGGGCCCTGTGGCCTCTACCTGGAATCTGAGCGCATCCGCCCGCCTCTGTCTCTTTAAGAGAGAGAAAGTAGCGAGCAGGAAGTGAGAGGTCCCGAGAGCGGAGTGTCGCCGGGAAGCTGGGAGCTGCCGGTCGCCGCTGGCCAGGTGGCGCGGCTGCTCCGTCCACGCAGCCTTCCAGTCCCCGCGCCCCTCGGCCGCCAGGATGTCATGGGTTCTGCCCACGAGCCACAGAGAGCCCTGAGGCCCCGGGGTGGCCCTCCAGCCCTCGAGCCCGCATCCCCGCGGTGGAGATGCGGTGTGAGTGCCGAGCCCGCCGGCAGGGAGGGATCGCCGCCCCGCCATTCCCCCACTCCGCCCCCTTCCCCTCCCCCCACTGTCTAGGCCCGCGCTCCGGGCTGGGGTGCCGGCGTGGGGCAGCGGATCTCCGAGACCCGCGTCTCCCCCTGTGTCTCTGCTGCTGCTGGGGCAGCAGGGTGATGGAGGAGAGCTGCCCTTCCTGACTGCCACCCAACACTGGCCTCCAGCTCCTCCTAGGTGCTTTTCTCCTGGCTGGCTGCTGGGACCCCTTCAACCCTCCGGGACTCCCTGGCTGAGTCCCAGAGGCAGGAGCGGCGAGGGAAGCATGGAGCAGCTGGAGGATTGGGCTGGAAACCCCCAGGCTGTGGGGGAGGGTGATAAACAGGAAAGGGTTAAAGGGCTGGGGCCAGTGGCCTTTGATGGAGGCTGAGACTCAGACAGAGCTGAGGGGTGTCTCTCATCCGCCCTCCTCTTTCCGGTGCAGCTCGGCTCCTGGACCTGCTTAGACTGAGAGTAGAGCACACTCGGGACGGCAGAGGCTGCGCCTGATCCAGCTGCTTAGAGCCGGTGAGTTCACTTGGGCTGCAGCCCCAGGAGGGCAGGGGGGGAGGATGCCGGCTGGTCCCGGTTCCCTTGTGCAGCCTCATTCTGCCAGTTGTGAAGGAGCACCAGCTGGTCAGCACTCCCAGAGGCAGCCTGCCCAGATGTGCCATCCTGCTGGGAAGTTGAGGCGCCCAGGACGGCCTGTCCAAGCTGTGCCTTGGCCTTGCTGCCCACTGCCTGGCCTTCACCTCTGGCAGTCAGCTGGGGACCAGTCCAGGGAAGAAAATGAAGGTGACAAAGGACCTGACCTCTGGCCTCAATTCCAGGGTGTTTTGCTCAGTGTCACCATCCCTCCAGGCTCCTCTACACCCCCAAGCCCCGAGGCTGACCCCTCCTCAGTGGGGGAAGCCAGCCTACTTACTCTGCGCTGGTGTGTCCTCCTCAGGGAGTCTGTCAAGGCCCTGGCACGTCTATAAAACGCAAACACTTTCTAAAACTGGAAATCCATCTCTTGAGGTTGCCTCTGGCTCAAGGAGTTGACATCCTTAAGATCTGCATTAAAAAATACATGTGTTGGAGAGAGAAGGCACGCAGGAGGCTCAGCAACCCTCACTCTGGGTCTGAGAACTGTGGGGGTGTTGGGAGACGAAGGAGCACTGGTGCCCAGCCTGACTGGAGAGTGTTCAGGGGCAGTAGCCAGTCTCCTGGCCTCCCCCCAGCCACCCATCACGCTGGCTGGCCTTAGCCTCATCCCCGGGGTGTGACTTCTGAGGCTGTGCTTTCTGGAGCCGTTGCTTTAAGCAACAAATCTCTGGAGAGGATGATGGCGGGCTGTGGGGATTTCACATGCTCCTAGAGCTCCTGAGCCCTTGGATTTGATCTCCTGCCACCCCACCCCTACACACACACACACACACACACACACCACACACCCATGCAGCTGTTGGGGCAACAGCTGTCAGCCCGCCAGCAGCAGGAAGCAGTGCTTGGGCGGGTGTGTGGGGAGGGGCTTCAGCTCGTGTTGCAATCCTGGAGATTTGCAGTGGTGTGGGTGACGCTGTTGACTCGGGGCTCTTCCTCCAAGCACTATTTCTGCTTCCTGGGACAATCCCAGGCCTGGATGCCCAAACCCCAGAGTTCTTAGTGTCTGGGTGAAGTGACAGAGAAAGAGGTTTGTTTCTGAAGAATGGCCTGTTTCTGGAAGGGGTGGGGGTTGGCGGGTGGGAAATGGCACCGAGTGGAATAAGCTGTGGTAGCTCAGGGGCTGGGAGTGGGTTAAGTGCTTTGGGGGGGGAAGTTACTTTACCTCTTTGTGCTTCACACTTCCCTGCCCCCTTTCCTCTGGGACAGTCCCCTGGAGTGCCTCATGGGGTTCTTGGGCACCAGGATGTATCCTGGACCCCAGTGTGTTCTTCTTCGAGGTGGAAGGCTGCTGGCTGGCCGGGGCAGGAGATGCAGAGCACGGTGAACTACCTGTGGCACACAGATGACCTGCTGGGGCAGGGGGCCACTGCCAGTGTGTACAAGGCCCGCAACAAGGTAGGGCACAGCCCCGGCCAGGCCTGCCCGGCTGCCCAGGCCCCCAGGCCCAGGAAGTGCTTGGCCCAGTCAGCTCCCAGTGGGCAGCAGGGGTGGCATGTGGCTGGCAGAAGCCTCTGGAGTTTGGGGTGCAGGTTTGGGGGGTGGCGGAAGTGCTATGAGTTTGAGCATAGGTGGGTAGAGTCAACGAGGCTCCTTGAGGTGATGCTTGTCGCCTCCTTGAGGTGATGGGTCTGGAGCGGAAGAGACCAGCAGACAAAGCAGAGCTCCAGGGAAATAACAGCAGACCTGGGAGTAGTGGAGGTGACAGGCCAGACTGTCAGATTTCCTGGCCTTGCTGCAGGACAGCAGTGAAGTATATGCACCATCCCAAGCCACCTCACTCCTTTTTTTTTTTTTTTAAGATTTATTCATTTATGCATGTAAGAGCTGGAGTATATTCCAGAGGTGCAGGGGCGTGAGAGGATTCACCAGAGACAGAGTGGGGAGCAGAACAGGCAAATCTACTGAAATACACTGCTGAGGGGAGCAGGGGGCGGGACAGGAGAGGTCTGCTGTGCCCTTGTGGGTCACCTCCCTGGCCGGGGATCGAACTTGTGCTGCAGTGGCTGCAGACAGTCCCACAGTGATGCGCTTTAACCTGTTGCACCACCAGGGAGGGCCCTCATCCCACTCTTAATAACTGAAACCAGGTAAAACAGGTGCCAGTCCCGGCCTTGCTGCTGATACCAGGGAGTATTAGCTGCCACGCTGTCATGGTCTAAGGTGACAGCCAGCCAGGTGGGCCTGCCCCCTGTTGCCTCCCGGGGCACCACGTGCACCCACTGAGGAGGTGATGGAACTGGGGTGGGACCCCTGCACTTGAACCCTCTTGAGCTGAATGGAGGCTCCAGAGGGGGAATCTCCCAAGGGCAGGGCGCAACTGACACCAGTCACCCCTATGGCAGAAGTCTGGGGAGCTGGTTGCTGTGAAGGTCTTCAATGCTGCCAGCTACCTGCGCCCCCGAGAGGTGCAGGTGAGGGAATTTGATGTCCTGCGGAAGTTGAACCACCAGAACATCGTCAAGCTGTTCGCCGTGGAGGAGACGGTGGGTCTGGGCCTGATGCCAGCCTGGGGCCTCCTCCTTGACCCCCCCAGACAGGGAGTGGGGTCCCTGGAACAGAGACTGGGCAGCCAGCTGTGTAGACACTGGGGGCACACAACTGTGGCTGAGGAGTGAGGGTGGGGGCCTAATCAAAGAAGGCTCCGTGGTAACCTTGTGGGTGGATCAGTGTGAGGCCAAGGAGGGAAGGGCTTGACGAGAAGCTGGACCTAGCAAAGGGGGGCTCTAGGCTGAGCCACCTCCTCTTGAAAAAGCTGCTATATCAGTAGCAGAGGCGGAGAAGTACCTTCCTCTAAACCTCCCTCTGCCCACCCCAGGGGGGCAGCCGGCAGAAGGTGCTGGTGATGGAGTACTGCTCGGGCGGAAGCCTGCTGAGCGTCCTGGAGAGCCCCGAGAATGCCTTTGGGCTGCCGGAGGAGGAGTTCCTGGTGGTGCTGCGCTGTGTGGGTGAGCCCCTCCCTGCCCCCTGCCCCACCTGGGACCCAGCGCCCAGAGAGTCCCGGCGGCTGCGGCATTCCTGAAAGCGTCCAAACAGCACATGCGCAGAGCCCAAGACTCCTGGTCCCCACAGCTGGGGTGCGCCCAGTGGGCAGCAGCCAAGTGTCTGAGTCCCTCTAACCAGCAGCTTAAAGTCCAGTTTAAAAGTAAAGTTCAAAGCAAACTGGCCACCGGCTGTCACAGGCCACTAGCACAACACAGAGTTATTCCGGTCACGATAAGATGAGCACAAGTGTCGAAAGAGGTGACGGGATGGACAGGCGTGTCTAGGCGGGCAGCCTTCCAGGGGAATGTGAGGCTTGCATAACGTAGGTGGACCAGAGGACACTATGTGACACAAACCGGCCACATGAGGACGCTCATGGAGGCCACCCAACCGGGCCATAGTCAGAAGGAAGCAGAAACTGGGGGTTGAGGGGCTTCCCCCTGGGGAGGGCAGCGCTCTGCCTGGGAACTTGACCAAGTCCTACAAGGGAGTGACAGCCGCACAGCTGTGTGGATCCCAGGCTCGGGGCCCCTGAGCTCTGCGCTTAGAGATGGGTAATAGGGGGTGGGGTGGGGGGGGTCACAGGACGGAGGGCATGTGTGTTAGGGATATGCTACCAGCATTTAAAAAAATAAAATAATGAGGCCTCTCTGGTGGTGCAATGGGCTAAGTCTCAGCACTGTGAAGCTGTTTGCAGCACGAGTTCAATCCCCCGCCAGGGAGCTGACCCATAGGGCTCAGCAGACCTCTCCTGTGTCACCTGCTGCTCCCCTCAGCAGTGTGTTTCAGTCAACCCACCTGTTCTGCTCCCCCTCTGTCTCTGATGAATCCTCTCACCCCCCCCCACATCTGACCTGCACCCCAGCTCTTATATGCATAAATAAATATTTTAAAATAATAAGAGGGGGGACGTAGAAGGGGGCCCACCGACGCTCTTGGTTTCTTAGAGGATCTTAGTGAAACCCCAACACCCCATGTCTTTGGGACACACCCCCCACTCGCCGTGGCCCTCCTGTGGCCCTTCAGCCTGGGGGAGCCCCCGGGACCCAGGGCCAGCGTCCCCCGGCGCGGCCCAGCAGCCCCTCTGTCCCAGTGGCCGGCATGAACCACCTGCGGGAGAACGGCGTCGTGCACCGCGACATCAAGCCAGGCAACATCATGCGGCTGCGGGGGGAGCAGGGCCAGAGCATCTACAAGCTCACCGACTTCGGCGCTGCCCGGGAGCTGGACGACGAGGAGAAGTTTGTCTCCGTCTACGGGACGGAGGAGTACCTGGTGAGAGGGCGTGGGGGACGGCTGCCCAGACTAAGGTCTCCCCTGAAGCCCCTGCCACTGGCTGCGCCTCCTTGGTGCCTCCCTCAGAGCCCCCCTTACCAGCAGGGTATATGTCACCTCCACACGGGAAGGGAGATGCTACTTCCTGCTCGGCCCCCTCCCAGCCCCCTCCCAGAGCCCCACTGCCCAGATCTCTCTGCCCAGGCCCCCCTCTGCACAGGCCTTCAGGCAGGTAACTCCTGAGTTTCTCTCACGCAGAGGCCACCGCCCCCTCCCCCCGGAATGCCCTGGCTGGGCCACCTTGTACCGTTCTGAGGCCTGAGGCCTGAGGCCGTGGGTTCTGATGATTCTGTTCCCACCAGCAGGCGCTGGAAGGGCCTGGCCCTCGCCGCCCGCCTCCCTCCACGTCTGCTCTCTGCTTCTCTCTGGCAGCACCCTGACATGTACGAGAGGGCGGTGCTTCGCAAGCCCCAGCAGAAGGTGTTTGGGGTGACGGTGGACCTCTGGAGCATCGGGGTGACCCTGTACCATGCTGCCACGGGCAGCCTACCCTTCGTCCCCTTTGGGGGACCACGGCGCAACAAGGAGATCATGTACGGTGACCCGGGGTGGGGACGGCCCCGCTGTGTCCCTCTGCCTCCGACCTCCTGGGGTCACTGCTTGGGTCCTTGGCTCTCAGTCAATCCAACCAGAGGCCGCTAAGCCCTGCCCCGGCTGGGGAGACAGACGCTCACCCCTCATCATAAAGGGCTTCCCTTTGGCCCTTTAGCCCACTTGCTGCTCCCCTCCAAAGTAGACTCCAAAAGTAGACTGAGGCTCCAAAGTAGACTGTCCAGAGGGGAGGCGCCTGCCAGGGGCCAAGGTGGGCGGGACCCAGCCTGAGGCCCAAGGTCCTCTCCTGCTTGGGATGAGCCGCCCTGCTGAGCACACACCCAAGGCAAAGCCGACTTGGGGAGCCCTGCCTCTCCCTCAGCTTGGGGGTGCCCACACAGCTCTCCCCACTAGCAACAAGGGGGAGATGTTTCTAGTTGATGTGATTTTGTTAGATTATTTCCAGGGTCTGAGGACAATCAAAATGTGTTTCATACAAACAAATAGTAATACTCAAAAAATAACCTAGCAAATCTTGCTAAGTGGGAGCATTTGCCTTTCAGAGGCCGGGGGAAGCCTGATTGGGTTAGGGGATGAGAAGGAGCCATGTGCACAGGGCTGCTAGTGAAGGCTGGACTTTGCAGGATGGGGTTAAGGGGTGACAGGGCAAATAAGCACTGTCTATACATGCAGCCTTCACTAGAATAGTGGCGGGGTCAGGGGGGTTCAAGCCCAATGTGGCATGGGCAGAAGCATGGGGGCAGGCTGGGCTGTGGGTCTAACAGGTGTGGAGAGCTTGGGGGTGCCCAGGGCACAGCAGGGAGGCCGCTGGCTGAGGGCCAGGACTCAAGTTCCATTTTCAGGCTGGGTGACTTGAACCTGCCCTGAGTTTGCCATCCCCAGAAGCGGACAGCCCGGGGTCCCGCTGACCTGGCCCTGCACCCCCAGGTTCCGGATCACCTCAGAGAAGCCAGCTGGGGCCATCGCCGGCTCTCAGCGGCGGGAGAACGGGCCCCTGGAGTGGAGCTACACCTTCCCCATCACCTGCCGGCTGTCGTTGTGAGTGGGATAGCGAGGGCCGCCCCAGCAGGCTGGGGATGGGTCTCTGCCGAGCTTCAAGGCCAGTCCTGTCACCCCCCTCCCCCTGAACAGCCCCTATTCTCTCTGGGTTCAGCTTTTCTCAGTGCTTGCGCTCCTACTGCCCACCCCAGCCGCCACCGCACTGCTCAGGCATTCATAGGTCTCCCGTGTCCTCCGCGGCCTCTGACAGCCCCCATGTCCTGGGAGGGCAGGGGCCTGCAGAGCCAGCTGGTGCCCATCCTGGCCAACATCCTGGAGGTGGAGCAGGCCAAGTGCTGGGGCTTCGACCAGTTCTTTGCAGAGACCAGCGACATCCTGCAGCGCGTGGTCGTCCACGTCTTCTCCCTGCCCCAGGCGGTCCTGCACCACGTCTACATCCATACCCACAACACGTACGTGGGCACGAACAGCGGGCGGTCTTCTCCCGGCGGAGGGCACGTGCTAGGAGTGTTCCCTGGGGTGTTCAGATGTGGCAGTTTCTAGATCCTTCTTCGATTGGAAAAATACTAGTTCTACTAAGTTTAAACTAGACATCAGAGATTCTAGTAATCTCTACACTAATGTGCATTGTCAATCTCCTGAGGGTGTGTGGGTACATGTGTGTGTTTGCACACGCACGTGTTAGCAGTGCTTTCCCAAACTTACTGTACCTAGAACCCTCAATTTCCAGAGATTGTATAGAACCAAGTAATTTTTTTAAAGATTTCAATTTTTGTTTATTCATACAGTACTGGGGTGCAGGCCAGAGGTACAGGGGCGGTGAGAGGATTCACCAGAGACAGAGTGGGGAGCAGAACAGGCAGACTGACGAAGAACACTGCTGAGGGGAGCAGGGGGCGGGACAGGAGAGGTCTGCCACACCATGTGGGTCAGCTCCTGGACCAGGGATCGAACTCATGCTGAAGTGGCTGCCGCTAGCTTGCAGAGCTGCACTCTAACCCGCTGCGCCACCAGGAAGGGCCAAACCAAGTAATTTTAACAGGGGTGTGAAAGGAAGAGAGATGAAAGCAGAGGCTGGCCTCGGGGACTGAATCATGTTCCTTGTCCATCTCCATCCTGTTTAAATGTGAGCCCCAATAAACGTGAGCCCCACCTTTAGTCTCTCCACCCTGATAGGAGAAAACCCTCCCCCATCCCTGCTGAAGGGAGGAGCTGTCTCTGCTGGGCTCAGTCACTCTGAGCTCAGCCCTGCCTTCTGACTCTTGCTTTCTTCCCTCCACCCCGGCTCCTCTAGGATATCCATCTTTCTGGAGGCCGTCTACAAGCAGACGAACGTGGCCCCCCAGCACCAGGAGTACTTGTTTGAAGGCCACCTCTGTATCCTTGAACCCAAACTCTCAGCACAGCAGATCGCCCACACGACAGCAAGCAGCCCCCTGACCCTGTTCAGCGTGGCCAGTGAGGCCCCCAAAGGGCTGGCCTTCAAAGACCGTGAGTAGGGACCCACGGCTGGGTCTTTTCTCCTCCCCATGTCCCCCCTTCAGGAGGCAGGCTGGGTGGCTGACTTTCTTTGTGGGTGTTCTTTGGGCCCACAGAGGGCAGAAGACAGACCTGGGCCCTAATTCTGTATGTGCCCCTCTCTGGGGCATCCGCTGAGCTGTGAACGAGGTTTCACTGAGCAGAGGGAACTGGAGTTGGCTTGATCTCCAGTCTCTGATTGGTGGGAGGCGGCAGAGAGTTACCTGGAGGAAGGAGGAGCCCCAGATACTAAAGGGAAACATGGCCAGGGATCCTGAACTTTGTCCTCCAAGTTTTGGAGGAAATATCACTCCTTCTAATTTGAATAATGCCAATTCTATCTTGGGGACCCCAAGATGGGGAAGGAAAATTAACATGGAAATTTCTAGACATAGGATGTTTTTAGACCATTTTTAAACTGTTGAAGGACATTGGGCTCAAGACTGTAGTTCTCCAGAGTGGACACAAGGGGGCAGTGGGGGCCTGAAATTGTGGAAAAGCCACTTTTAGGCTTGGGTGGGGGGTGGCTCTTTAGGCCTATTGGGAAGTTTAAGATGAGAAATAGGCAGTGAGAGGTGAATGTGAACTGGGAATAAGGAAAGATGAGCTCCGAGTTCATCCAGGGAGCTGACCCTCCCTCAGACAGGGTCTTTGTCCACAGCTGCTCTGGACCTTCCCAAGTTCGTCCCCAAAGTGGACGTGCAGGCAGATTACAGCACCGCCAAGGTGAGCCTGGCCCTCGGGGTGGGGGGCCCAGTGGGGGGCCTGTGGAGTCTGACCACACCCCTGTTTCAGAGCGTGCTGGGCGCTGGCTACCGAGCCCTGCAGCTGGCACAGACCCTGCTGGCCGGGCAGGAGCTCATGCTTCGGGGGCTGTACTGGTTCGTGTGAGTACCCCGCAGCCCGGCAAGAGGCCGCCCAGGCAGGGGCCGCCCCGCGCGCGCGGTCATCCCGGGAGAGGCAGCTCTGCTCACTCTGGCTTTCCGGGCAGGGAGATGCTCCAGGCCACGTGCCGGCGGTCGCTGGAGGTCACGCGGATGGCCCTCCTCTTCCTCAGCAGCAGCCTGGGCACCGAGAGGTGGGTATCCTACCTGATGAGAGGCACAGTCGGCGGGTGGCCCTGCCCCCTTGGCCTCACCCTAAAATGTCCAACAATTCCCCAGCTGCCCATCCTGGAGCTCCCACTACCTGCCCCTCACGACTCCCCTGTGGCCTCCCCAGCCCCTGTCACCCCTCACCTCGCAGGCACCAGGGCAGCCTTCCAGCCCAGGAAGGGGCCTCTGTCCTTGTAGACCCCTCCCTGTGGGGCCCCAGGAGAAGGCTCACCCTGTGCCTCCCTTGGATCTGGCGCCCTGTCCCCCACGCTCCTTCCTCAGCTTCCTCTGGGTCTCAGACTGCCCTCTGTGTGGCCCTAGGAATCCCTGCTAGGCATCCTGGCAATTCTGTGCCCCGAACACCTGACTCAAGGCTAATGATGGTCATGGGTCAAAAAAGGGAGAATGGAAAGGAGGAAACCAGGCTGGCAGGCGTGGAGATGAGAATCCGGCAAGACCCCACTGGCCCGAGCACTATTGAAATGTCTGGCCCCCCTATGTTGCAAGACATGAATTGTGGTCCAGGAAAGGTGGGGGCTTCGGCTCAGAAAAGCTGATGGCAGTCAGAGATGTGTGGTGACAGAGGAGCAAAGACGTCCGTCCCTGATGCCCCACCCTTGATGACCCCCCAGCACCCCACTCCAACCTACCCAACACACTCCCTGACGCCCCTGACCCTGACACCCCACTCTACCCCTGACACCCCCAACTCTGACACCCCACTCTACCCCTGACACCCCCAACCCTGACGTCCCCAACCCACCCCCAACACCCTCCCTGATGCTCCAGGCCTCATCTTCAGGAAGGTGCTAGAGCTTCCCAGGTGGGTGACTCGCTTGCAGCTGCTTCCTCCTGGAGCTGGTCAGCACATCGCTGGCAGTGGGGCAGATGGGGTGGAAAGGAAGAGGAACGTCTTCCAGGTGACAGGATGGGGGTGCTGGGCAATGGCCAAGCCCCCCTTAAATGACAACAGGTATGAGGGGGTGTCAAGTCAGCAGCCCTGCCCAGAAGCTCCCAGAACAGAGCTCTGTCTGGGACACAGGAAGAGGCTCTCTGGGAGGAGACAGCCTTTCCCAGGCATATGCAGTGACAGGAGGGTTACAAAGGAGACTAGAGAGGGGAGAGGCTATCACCGAGGTCTTCCTGGAAGAGGTGAGGCTGTTATAGTCAAAAGATAGGGAATACCTCGGTTGGAAGATCCTGTGCAGAGAGACATAAGGGAGTCCTGCCTGGGGCTTGTGGGTGCTGATGGGATTTGTCCCAGGCTGAGCTGAGAGGGGGCCAGGTGGGGGAGGGGCTAGGAGGGAGAGCATGTAGAGCTCATGGAAGGTACACCTGGCAGGTTAGACCCCAAATAAAATGACCAGTAGGGCCTGTTGTAGGTTTTTGAGCAGGAAAGAACATTTGGGGTTCACCTGCACCTTGGCCTGGAACACATGGAGGACAGGCCGGCCCCGGGCTGGAGCCCTGGTGCCTACTGGTTGTTGTGTCTCTAATTCTGTTCCCAAGGCCTCTCTGAGGCACCCCTGGACTTCCCATCACCAGTTTACCCACTATGGTGCCATCACCACAGTCCCATGTGCTTTTCCCACCCCTGTTTTGATCCTTTTTTGCTGTCCGCCCGTAGAATGTCTCTGAGTTATAATTGTTTGTTGATTTTAGTTTTTACTTTATTACAATTACTTTTTTTCCCCTTCATCCCTTATACTCCTGCTATGAGTGAAGCCATCTGGTATTTTTCTTTTCCTTTCTGGCTTAGTTCACTAAGCATGATCCCTTCCAGCTCCATTCATGTTGCTACAAATGTCATGAGTTCATCTTTTTTGACTTCTGAGTAGTATTCCATTGTGTATATGTACCCTGTGAATTTTTTATTTATTTATTTATTTATGTATACAGAACTAGGGGTACAGGCAAGCATTGTTGGTGGTGAGAGGACTCACCAGAGACAGAGTGGGGAGCAGGACAGGCAGATCGACAAAGTACACTGCTGAGGGGAGTAGCGGGCAAGACAGGAGAAGCCTGCTGCCCCATGTGGGTCACCTCCCGGGCAGGGGACTGAACTCACACTGAAGCGGCTGCTGCTAGCTTTGTAGCACTGTGTGCTTCAACCCATTGAGCCACCAAGGAGGGCCCTACCCTGACATATTTTAATGAGCCAGATTTCATGCTACAGGAATCCAAGTACCCAGGACAAAGTGTCCACCACTGGCCAGACTAGTCACCTGTCCCATTGCGCTCTCCTCCTGTCCTGGGCCCTTCAAGGCTCCCTTGGCAGCATCTGGAAGGTCCTTGATCTTCCTAGCTCAGTCTGCTGGGACTGACTTGGAGAATCCCAGTGCTCACCCAAACACCAAAAAAGCAAGTCCATAGAAATATGTTCTATTGGTCAAATCCTTTATCTCCGAGGTCCTGCGTGATCCCCCTGAAACCTAATTAGGGAGGAAGGAGATGTCTGCCCATTATATAGATGAAGAGAGTGAGTCTTGAAGAGCTGATGTGACTAGCCCAGGGCCATGCAGATGGCCAGTGTGGGCCACTAGGACCAGCATGAAGGCCCGCAGCCCACTCCCCGGCCAGGCGGCGTGGCTGACCCTCCTGTGCCCAACAGAACGCTTGTGCCCTGCTAGGCTTGGGGGCCTCACAGCTGGGCAAAGCAGGCATGTCCCTGCCACTTCATTCTTAACTCCCTCCCCCCTCGCCCTGGCTTCCATTCCCAAGCCCAAACACACAGGAGTCTTTATCCCTCATTGTTATTGTTGTTGAGACAGTATTTGCTAATGGTAGAAAATGGAAGAAATACAAGTAAGCCAAAATGACATGAAAACGCCTAAGTGTGGCGTTCCGCCGTGTGTACGTGCATGCACGTGCGTGTGAGAACGGGAGAATTTTCCCAGACTGGCCAGTTTATACTCTGCTCTGCTCAGCTAATAAGCTCTCCTGTTTCATATGTTTCAATCCATGTTTAGCTCCCAGAGGACCCACCCATATTAAAATTTCTCTAATTAGCCTCCACATTTTCTCTTTCAGCTGGTTTCATCCAAACCAGGGCCCAGTGCGAGACCCTAATTTTTATCTGGTCCTGTGTCTTAATCTGTTCGAATCTAAACAGACTGCCTCCCCGCCCGCCCCCTTGGGGTGGGGACCACGCCCTCCTTTGCCTTCTGGGCTCCGTTTGGCCTGTTCTTTCCTACCAAGCTTTAAGCTGGGTGGATTCAAGTTTAAACATTTTTGTCTAGATGCATCATAGCTGCCGCTGGGCACTCTTCCTGCCCACCCAGCGCTGGGGGCACACAGCCAGACCCTCTGCTCTGGCCTAGGTTGCATTTGCCCAGCAGGAGAGTCCTCCTTCCTTATTCTTTGGGGGCCTAAGTCTGTGCTCACATCGGGCAGCCTGGCACCAACCTTCCGAGTCTGGCCACCTCGTTGGCTAGTAGCCGTAAAATGCACCTTTCCCTTGTCGGTAAGCTAGAGCTTATCGCCAAGTACAATTTCTACTACAAAGGATTTCTTCTTTTGCTTCAGTTAAGCAGTTTCCAAGTAAGAAATATCCATGGCTCCCTTGTATCACTGACTCCTGGATTCTCTTGGATTTGAATTGCTGTAGCCCACCTCAGTCCTGAATCTTTGCAGTGTGATGCCACTGCTTTCCTAAACAGGGGCCTCTTCAAGTTGGTCTGTCTGCCCCAGACACCCCAAACCCAGTACCTGGAGATGCCAGCATGTGCCTCCGGCCCCTCTGCCCCCTCACCCCATGTATCCTTCTCTGTCCCCTCCTGGTTCAGCAGCGTGGCTGGGGTGCCTGAGACGCAGGAGCTGAAGAAGACCTGGGAGCTGAGGTCCAGACTGCGGACTGTGAGTGATGCTGGGGGGGGATGGGCTGGGGCCCCTCGAGCGTGGTGACGGAGCCCAGAGCCCGGAGCTGAGGCCATGTGGGCACCTACCTTTATGCCCTGCAGCTGGCAGGGGTCCTCTCCAGATGTTCCTGCAACATCACGGAGACCCAGATGAAACTGAGCACTCTGAGCACTGAGCTGGCAGAGAGCAGGGACCAGGTACATGAGGACAGAAGGTCTGTGGGATTTTCCTTCTGGGCAGGGTGGAGGCGGGCTCACCTGGAGAGGGCCAGGGCCTTTTGTTTTGGTTTATATATGTGTGTGTGTGTATTTAAAGACTTATTTATTTATGCATACAAGAACTGGGATACAGGCCAGAGGTGCAGAGGGTAAGAGGATTCACCAGAGACAGAGTGGAGAGCAGAACAGGCAGATCAACGAAGTACACTGCTGAGGGGAGCAGTAGGTGGGACAGGAGAGGTCTGCTGTGCCCTGTGGGTCAGCTCTCAGGCTGGGGATCTAACTTGTGCTGCAGTGGCTGCAGAGAGCTTCATAGTGCTGTGCTTTAACCCGTTGCACCACGAGGGGGGTCCTGAGGGCCCATTGAAGAAGCTTTTGTCAGAGTGTGGGCTGTGGAGCAATGGTGGAGGCAGGTGATCCAGAAAAGTGCAAGATCCTCGCCTGGGACAGGCGGGAGAAAACAATCTGGGGTCCTGCCCTCAGCTGGGAGTCTAGAATGAATTGGGAATCTCAGTGGAGGCAATAGTCTTGGATGATTTAGTTCCCTTTTTTTCTGACCCGTTATCCTGGGTCAGGCCCTCAGACAGCGCTTCCTATTTATAGCATCTCAGTTAATCCTAAAAGCAGTGACATTTCCACTACCAGGCGCTTCACGGACAGGAAGCTCTAGGGCAGGCCCTTTCCCTGAGTCACAGTCACCTGGTGACAGAGGACAGAAGAGGAGCTGATTGTGGGCCCCGAGGCCTCCTGGCCTGCCCCACTCCCACTAGGGATCCTGGGGTCTTGGGGGGCTGCAGCTGCCCCTCAGCAGAGCTCTGGACCCTGAGAACAACAGGGTTTTTCTGAGCTGCTTCGGCCGCAGGACCTGACGTAACCTGACATGGGGCTCTGTGTAGTCTGTCCCCCCGTGGGTGGAGGGTCTCAGAAGAATGAGTGTATTTGCCACTAGGACTGTTCCACATGAATGTATGTACACCGAGTCACCTCTCACAAGTCAGAAGCCAGTTCTGAGCCTGGAACACACCTGCCCTCTACCTTTTGGATAAAGACTGCCATCTCAGGTGCCCTAGAGGTCTCTGGGACGAGTGTGGGCTCTGCCCAGGGTCCAGCTCCAGGGTTGAGCTCGGTGGGGGAAAAGTGGCACTAAATAGTCTTGAGGGTGAGGATCTTCCACAAGATTTCAAACAAAATGTTTGTATCTGACCTAAAAGGGGAAAGAAAGAAACAATAATGACTTACCCCCAGGCTGGAAAAGGTCCCTGAGAAATCCTCTCCTGCCTTCCTGCTCCAGAGAGATTTCTGCTGCTGCCCCTCCCCCGAGACTTGTGTTCCGGGGTCAAGGGTCCTTCCCGGTCCCATTCTCAGGCCTTGTGTAGCCTACTTTCCTGGTGCCTGTCAGACTTGGCTCTTGGCTTATCTCACCTCTGACTGAGAGAGAGAATGCAGGAGAGGGAGGACGAGAACATGAAACAGAGCTGGCCGGCTGCCCCCAAGATGCCTCGAATAAGACAAGTGATTCACCCCCACTCCGACTGCCCCCCAAAACTGTGGCACTGAGTTTCCATGAGAAAACAGCTCTTCCCACTCCTCCCCACCGCCCCACCCCCTCACCTCTCACCCTGTGTTTTCTATTCCTCCATCACCTGGTCCCTGCCGCCCGTCCGCAGCATCCAGCAAATCCAGTGCTGTGTGGACAAGATGCAGCTCATCTACAAGCAGTTCAAGAAGTCGAGGATGAGGCCAGGTGAGCGTGGGCGGGCGGACTACCTCCTTGCTCTCCCCTCCTTCCCGCCAGCCATACCTTGTTCCTTGACACTCCTGCTGCTGCTAGAGGCCCACTATTTGGGGGTGGGAAGCGGGGTGAAGCCAGGTGCCCACCAGCTGCCTCAGACCTAGAGGGACACGAGCCTTCACAGCTCTGCTTATGGCTACTTGAGAGGCTTAGACGACCTGGTGGTGGCCCTAGAGGGCTGGAGCTGGGTGCCACAGAAAAGGTGGCCCTCACCAGGCAGGGCACATTATAATTCTGGGGTGTCTCTGTATCCATCACATCTTTGGAGTGCTAAGGCAGCCAGGTTTTCTAGCGAAGGGAGGATTTGGGGAGGACTCTTCACAAAGACACTTGGCGTGGAGGCTCATTCACAGGCTCAGCACGGGGAGGCTGCTTGCTCAGGCGTGGCCATCAGGGGCCAGAGAGGATGGGGCCTCCTGGGGAAGCCCGAGTGGGCACTGAGGCGGGGCTTGCATATACCAGGAAGACCCTCTCTCTCTCCACCCTTGCCCTGAGCTTCTCCTGATGTGCAAACCAAAGGTCTTGAGCTTGGTTGCTAAATTCCCTTTGGTTCCATGGATTATCTTAAGCTAGAGATTGTCTAACTGAAATATAACAACAGCCATATAGGTAATTTTTACACTTTCTAGAATCCCAATTTAAAACGTAGAAGGAGATAAAATCGATTTTAATGATATATTTTATTTAACCCAATATATTCAAGTGATCATCTCACAAGTTTTTAATAGAAACAAAATTACTAAAGAAATATTTCACATGCTTTGTGCAAAATGTTGCATTTTCACCGACAGTGCATCTCTGTTCCGAAGCTAGTTTTTTAGCAAAAATTAAGTATAGTTTCATCAAAACAATAAAGTTGCATTTAATGAGAAAAACACTTTCTATTCCTTCCATTATTAAGTTAACTGAATGGATTGAAACTCACCTTCGGCCCTCTGTCACACCAGGGCACCTGTAGGCTCACAAAGACCCTTGGGTGAGAGGCTCATTCTCAGGCTCAGCACCGGGAGGCTGCTTGCCCAGGCTTGGCTATCAGGGGCCAGAGAGGATGGGGCTGGGGGTGGCGTCCTGGGGACGCCCGAGTGGGCTTCTCAGGGATCTGAGATGCCCGTTTTCCTCCGGCATCTTCAAGGCCTCCGGGTAACACAGGACATGGAGAAACTGAGAATCTTGCTCTTTGAACCCAGTGGGCTCAGCAAGGGGACCATCTGCCCCAGGCCCCATCCTGGCTGTGGCTTTGGGGGAACCTGGGGTTCTACTCCGCTAGGACCTGGATGCTATCACTGCTGCTCTCTGGAGCATCTGGGGTGCCGGACCGACCCTCCACCCATGTTCTTACTTTATTGAATGTTCCTGAAAGTCTAGGCATCCTGCCCCAGCCCCCCACCTCCACTTCACAGAGGGGGAAACTAGGACACAGGAAGGTCAAGGAGCAATGTAGGCCCAGCTGTGTTTCACTACCCTCCTTTCTTGAAGCATCCTTTATTAATTCTTTATTAATTAAAATTTTTACTGGACCAGAAGAATAACCCTTGCCTGCTAAGTCAAGGGTGCTGAAAGCCACCATTCTGGGAAATGCTCCCAGGGCTCAGGCCCCTCACATCACCCTCCCATGTAAGAGGGTGGGGAGGATGAAGTCACGTGCCTGCAGCCCTCACTAGTGGGGGTGGGGGACTGCCACAGGTCACAAGTGGGACAGAGTGCCCAGGGGGCCGAGTGCCCAGCCCAGGGGAGAGCCCCGTGGACTGGACCTCGCCTGTCCTGGGGTGGTTTCCTCCTGGGGAATTCCCCGCCCAGAGGCCATTCCTCTGAGTCCCAGAGTGAGGAGGTGTTTCCCCATCAAAGAGTTTCCTGGGCCTTAGGAAGTGGCTGAGGGAGCAGCAGACCTGCTGAGAAGGTGGGGCTGAGAAGAGCTGGGTGTCTGGCTCTGCCTAAAGCTGAGGGGACAGCCCCACTGCAGCATCTGGGAGGGGCCAGGCTGATGGAGCCTCCTCCTTCCTGACCAGTCTGCTCTGCCACCGCCCCAGCACAAGCCCTCGCCCCTCCCCAGGACCGGTTTGCACGTCCCAGCCCTGCAGCATGGCCCCAGCCTGACCAGACCTCAGTTGTGCAGGCCTTCCCCCTCCCAAAATGCCCAGTCTGGGGTGCTGAGCTGTCATCGTGGTGTCCTGACTGGTCGGGAGACATGGTTGCTCTCTGTTTCCACCAGGGCTTGGTTACAACGAGGAGCAGATTCACAAGCTGGACAAGTAAGTAGTCGCCCGGCTTTGAATGAGCAGGAGGGGCGGCCCGGGCGCCCGGGCCTGGTGGGAAGGGACAGCCGGCAAGCATCTCAGACAGGTTATCTGGGCCCAGAGCATTTTTGTGGGGCTGAGTCAAGAGATTTCTAGAGGCAGGCTTGATGTAACTGGGTTCGCTCCTAGTGTGAACAACATTATTTGCAGTTCTTTTCCACTAATTGTCCTCATGATCGCCACTTGCCACTTCCTGCTCTGACCCTGCTGCAGCTTCCCTCTGGGCTTCCCCTCTCCTGGACACTCAGACATTGTCCTTCATGCTTATTTGGAGACTCACCCTTTCTACCGGCAAGCAAGCCCCATAGCCCCTTCTCCCCTCCCAAAGGGGCTGGCCTGAGCTCTCCCGTCATCTTGGCTCCCCCTCCGTGGGCCTGGGGCTGGGTGTCTGGAGTGAGGTGGTGGGGACCCGGTGGTGCTAGGCTTGTACTCAGGTGGGCCTGGCTGCTTATCTCTGTGCCTCGGTTTCCTTGTCTTCTCAGGGTGAATTTTAGTCATTTAGCCAAGAGGCTGCTGCAGGTGTTCCAGGAGGAGTGTGTGCAGAGGTACCAGACAGCACTGGCCACGCATGGCAAGCAGATGAGGTACAAGGGGCCCTCCCTCCTGGACTTGCTGGAGACCCTGGCTAGGCCTGGCCCTCCTGGCCTGCAGGAGTCCTGGGCCGGCAGAACCCCAGGGAGAGCCTTGGTGCTAAAGGAATGAAGGCAGAGAAGCAGCAGTTTGGTGGGGGGTGGAGGCAGTCATAGAGCGCTCCCTGTGCGTCCTTTGATGTATCCCACAGTCGCCACTGTGCGTAGATGCTCTCACCCCATTCACTGCTGAGCAAACTGAGGCTCACAGACATATCTGTTTCGTGACACACAGCTCCAGGATGGTGTAGGTGGGTTGCCTCTGAGGCCCAGATTCTTCCCACGTTCCCTGGTGCTGGTGTTGGGAAGCCCCTTCTGAGGCACACAGGCACTTGGGCTTCCACGTGGCCAGAAGCAAGGGCAGCCAGGGCCCCTCTAGTGGAACCGGCTCTAGCACTGTCCACTGCAGAAGTTGGGGGTCCCCCTTCTCCGGCCAGCCCCTCCTCCCTGCCTGCTGGACATTTGACCTGGCGTGGTGGCTACACCCTTGAGGCACATATGAGCTGAAGGCTGGTCATGAGCTGAGACCCAGCATCCCCCTCCCATAGCCCCCACTTAAAGAAGAGGATTCCTAGGAGTCTTGACCTTGGCTTGCTGTGGAAATGGGAGCAGGGGCAGTTCGGGGCTGATGGTAACCAGCTCAGACAGCCCAGCCCCCACCTCCCTGCCAAGTGCTTCTGAGCAGACCCCTGTGAGCTCCCAAGCGAAGCCCCCTGGGATAGATGAGGGAGGAGTGCAACAGGAGGGCAGAGGCAGCCCTGGGTGAGAATGGGAGTGGGGCTCAGGCCCCGTCACCTGGAGAGCTCCCCACCACCCTGAGAGTTCCTGTGTCTGCCTCTGCCTCTCTGCATGGACTGGAGGGAGTGGGTGGGCCCAGGCAGGGCGCGGGAGCCTGACCCACCGTCTGCTCTCTCGAGCCTGGCGCACGAGGTCAGGAACCACCTTCGTCTGGTCGGCTGCTCTGTGGCCGCCTGCACCACGGAAGCCCAGGAAGCCCAGGAGAGCCTCAGCAAGGTCGGGATCTTCAGGGGCCCTTGGGTGGCAAGAGGCGCTGACCCCCACGCCTCAGGTCACTCGGGCTACTCCCCTATCTCTGGAAGACAGGGACCGGGTCTAGGCGCCTTGGTGTGGGTTGGTCGGGGTATCTCTGGCTACAAATGTACCCCAAAATTAGAAAGTGCTTCCTGGTGCTCTCAGGCTGAAGGGCCCCGCTGGGCCCTCCTGGTAGAGCCTCAGAGGCCCCGGCTGCTCCAGAGAGAGGCGACTCAAGCTCCCCTTGGCCTTCCGAGCAACTCTCTGTGAAGACCCCCCCATAGAGGCAGCTGCGAGGCTGGCAGGGACAGGCAGGCGCTTCTGCTCCCTGTGGGGTCCCCCCTCCCCCCATATGCCCCACTCCCTGTCTGCAGCTCCTGGCTTGCCTGTCGGGAGAGATGTGGTCAGACACAGAGGAGAAGGATCTGGTCATTCAATCCAAGCCCACGCGAGCGAGGGTGCCCACTACGCCCCCAGGGTGGGGAGGAGGGCTGTGCCTCCAGGGTGCAGGCTGGGGCCTTAGTGGCCCTTCTCCCGCACCCCAGCCTGCTCACCCTCTGACTAAGCTGGGCTTCCCTTCAGATCCTGGACCTGCTGTCTCACCAGCTCCTTCAGGACAGAACAAAGGGTGCTCAGGCCTCGCCCCCCACTGCAGCTGCTGATCCGGTCCCTGAAGCAGAGGACCTGATTCTGCAGTGAGTGCCAGAGAGCGGGTGGGGGCTGAAGAGTGGCTGGAGGGCTTGGAGAGAGAGCCTGAGGCTGAGATTAGGGCCCAGCGGGTTTCCCATGCAGGTCTGGGGGGCAGCAGCTCAGGCTTCACGGGGGGGGTGTAGAGGAGGGGAGGCCGCCAGGGAAGGGGCCAGCGGCGTGACTGGGCCTTAGCCACAGGCATCTCTCCTGCCTCTGCCCTGGACAGCATGCAGGAGCTCTGCGAGGGGATGAAGGTGCTGGCCTTTGACCTCCAGGACAACAACCGCATCATCGAAAGGTGAGGGGCTCCGGGCTGGGCTTCACGCTGCCCGGCCTCGGGTGCGTAGCTGTGCTGCCGCTGTGCGGAGCGGCCGTGCTCACTAGGCGCAACTTCCGCGTTAGCCTCCGGGACCGTGGGTCAGACACTGGGACACCAGGAAGCCACCGTGCAGGCCTCGGGTCCGCTGCCCAAGGCGATGTTCAGGTCCCCTCTGCAGGCCCGGCCTACAGCTCATCACCCAGCCACACCCCCTGCCCCGGCGTGTGGGCCGCTCTGGATCTCGTGCTGGAGGAGTGCAGAGTCCAGTAAAGTGCACAAGGTTGGAGAGGAACAGCAGGTCCTCCCTCACCTAACCGGGTGCCGCATCTGAAAGGCAGCCAACCTGCCTCCGAGCATCCCTCAAGCTCATGTTGACACCAAAAACGATGCAACATGATGTCAGAATAAGGGACAGCCCTCGCCTGCAGGGTCAGCGCTCCACCAGGCTCACGCAGACACAAGCACGGAGTGTGGACTCCTGTGTCCTCCCCGGCACCCCTGAGCCTGTGAGCACCCTGTTTGGGAGCAAGAGCTAGCAGAGTCCAGTCCTCATTCCTGCCTACAGCCGCACAGCCCTGGGAGACTCGTTCAGCCCTGAGGCTCTCGTCTTGCCCCTCTGAAGGGGGAATGATGGTCCCTGTCTCCTGGTGGTGACTGGGACTGAGGAGGACGAGGTTTGGTGTGCAGGGGAAGGAAGGTGCTGAGAGGGAAGGGCCCCCCAGTGTCGGTGCTCCCAGAGGTCACCAGCCTGGGTCACTCTCTGCCTCCCTCCCTGGCTCTGCCTTTCTTGATGTGCCAGGGTCACCAGAGCTGGGGAGCGGGGAGGGAAGCGCTCAGTTTGTCCCCGGAGCTTACCAGGCCCTCGGGTTAAGGAGTCATCTTTGCCACACAGGCTCCAGCAAGGGGAGAATCCGCCCTTGAAATATTGCACAGAGGAGATTTGATGGCCCCTTGGAAAGATTTTCCAAAACAGGCCCCGTGGGCAGGAAGTTCTAATTTTAGTGCTGACATAAATTTTCCTTGCTGTGATATATAGTCTATTTACAGATAGTTCAAAACTTTATTTTAGTGATTTTTCACTTCCTTATTCAGTGCTAGAGCCAAAAAGCCAAACAAACCAGTTTGGGTTCCTTCGCCCTTCTCCTGCACCAAAGCTGCATGTGATTCACAAGGAGAGTTTCAGGAGGAATCACCCCAGAGAAGCGGGGTTCCAGGGTTGGGGATCGGTGTAACCCCCCAGGTGATTTGAATATGCCATCAGGGATGAGGTCCAGAGAGTTCTTGTCAAGAGATGGATGCTGTCAGGAAAGAGCTGAGGACTTGAGGACCTGGAGCTCTGGGGCTGATGGCCTTGGGCACTGGGGTATGGCCGGCAGTCTGCAGAGGTGACGCTAACCTGTCCACTTTGCTGCAGGTTAAGTAGGGGTCCGCCAGCCCCCGACGCCTGAGCTCCGAGGGTTGCAGGAGACAGACTGAAGCATTAGAGTTGTTCAAACACTCTTCTCCAGCCGACATGTAGGCTAGCACGAGGTGCCATCTGTTCCCATCTCATCAACCTACCTCCCTCCTGGCCGACGCTGGGACACGTCGTCAGCATTACCTGCCACTGCCTTTCCACAGCGAGTGGCACAGCAGAACAGGCCGGGCCTGCCCTGTCAGGACACCTGCCTGGACTCAGAGCTCCTTCCCGGGCCTGGCCAGCCCAGATGAACAACCGGCCAGGCGGTGCAAGAGTCTCCGTTCGGCCCTTCCAGCCACCACTCCAGTTTCCTGGAATCTCAGGGACAGAAAAGAAGCCACTTCTGGTTTCCCTAGGGTGCTGGATCAGAGCCCTCTAGGTGTTTCCCCCTCTGGATCTGGCTGAGTCTGGGTGAGGGCAAGTGGAGACCAGCAGCCAGTGCCTTCCCCCACCCAGGACACCATCAGGTCTGGATACTCAGCCAGCTCTGGAAAGTCCTGAGCTCTGAGGAGATAATAAAAGGCCTGTGCCTTCAAGAAATGAGTGTGGCCTTCTTTTCTGTTCTGACTGGTTCTCATTGGGCTGTCTGTGAGGCAGGGAAGGCCCTGGGGCACAGGTGGGCATCTATGAGCGGAAGGATCCAGAAGCAGAGGCATGAATGGCCACCTCCTGATTCCAGTTTCCTGAAGACACTGAGGAAGCTGCCTGCTGAGAGGACTTCCTTTCCCTTTCCCTCTCCCCTGCCCCATCATCTGGGAAGCTGAATTGGGGCCTGAAGTGGTGACCTCAGATCCATACCTACTGCTTCTCCTTTCCCAAATTCCTTGCCACTGTCAAAATATGTCACAAACACTGTGTCCTGGACCTGTTTGTTCACACCTGGGGTGGCTATGAACATTCCTTGTCTCCAAGGTAGAAAGGTGTCTGGGGAAGGTATTCAGATCTGTGCAACTTCATTTGTCCACAGCAAATCCCACAGTTTCTCAGCTGTCTCAGTGGGAGCAAGACTCAGACTGAGGCCTAGGATGGGAAGAACCTTGGTAGTTCAGGTAACTGCAGAAATTTTCAAAGTCCCCTCTATTCTCTGTGCTGATTCCCAGCCTAGCACTCAGGTGAAAGAACTGAGCACCTGGGCAATGCCAGGCCCCAGGCCAGGTGGGGGACACTATCACTCAGACTGCCCTGGCGACTCACCTCAACTTGAAGGAGGCATTTCATGGCCCAGGGGGGGCCCAGCCTCTGAGCCCCTCTGTGTCATCACAGGAGGGTGCCAGGACAGGCAGCTCCACAGGGCATCTCAGCAGATGAGCAGTTACCTAGCAAAGCAGGCATGGCGGGAATCCCAGGCAGCAGGAGGTGCCTGCCTAGGCATGGTGGGAATGACAGGAACGTGAGCCCCAGAGAGGAGACTCCTGATTTTAACCTCAGGGAAGCAGGCGTCACATGGAGTGCAACTAGTGTTTTGTTTGTTTTGTTTTTAATAATATAATAGTTTATTTTTACATCATTTTGTGCCTTTTTCTATCTCAGTTGTAATCCCTGTGGGCTTCCCACCACCACTTTACCCATGTGCCATCACCATAGTCCAGTGCATTTGCAAAGAGACCATTGTGGTGCCTGTGCGGTGGTGGAGTGAAAATACTGTGCCTCAGTTTCCTCACTTGTAAAAGGGAAGATAACCCAAAGCTATAGGCAGAAGTAGATTGGGTATTTCCATAAAGTGCGTGGAGCACAGCGTGAGTTCTCAGCATGCCTCCCGCCCCTGCACTCGTGGAGCGATGGCCAGCGTGGGTGGGGACGCAGGGCTGTCACCGCACAGACTGGCAACGAGATGTGGTGTGTGTCCGGCAATCAGCTTCCCAGCAAGCACCCAAGGCTTGACACAGGGCATGCTTGCTGGGCAGATGGGAACACAGGCCGGGCTGGAGGGCCAGCTGTGTCGCCCAGGGTGCGCGGGACTGGTCTCTGCACCCCTCAGGAGCTTTTCTGAGCTTTTCTAGGCTGCTGTCCTGGCTCAGGCACAGTTTCTGGTGCCCCACCTACCTCCTGGATCTTACTGGCAGGGTGTGGCTCAGGCACTGGGTACTGGAGAACCTCCCTGGTGATTCTTGCCCAGGGTGAGGATGCCCAGGCCCTGTGCCAAGTGCTGTGGAGGGCATGGAACTAGGTGCCCTGCCCCACCCCGTCACCCAACCCCCACAGCTGTGCCCGGAAAGCCAGCCCCAGGGACAGGCTTAGTGAGTTAACATCCAGCCTGCTTGGGTGACCCCTGGCCACCATCTCTCCATCTCCAAAGTACTTAAGCAGGAGAGCGGTGGGAGGAGGTGGCCCAGGGTAACTCCAAGTAGAAGGTCCAAATTGCATCAGCCCCCAGAGCAGGGGCCATTCCCTGCACGAGAGAGAGATGACGTGAGATGACTAAGAAAAGGACAGGGAGGGAGGAACAGGAGGTGATGCAGGCAGGGGAGAAAGAGATGGGGAAGGAAAAGAGGCGGAAATGAGGGGAACAAGGCAGAACCAGGCAAAGAGATAGCTGTGTGTGTGTGTGTGTGTGTGTGTGTGTGTGGTGGACTGGGGTGGCCTGGGGAGTCACCTAGTTCTCTCTGCTCACTGGTCTGTCACAGCCCCAGCCCCTGTCCTCTTTCCACAGCGATGGGCCCGGACCGGCTGAGGGCAGGAATGTAATTGTCTATGACGTGGAGCCGCCCCTCTGAGGAGGAAAAACTGCTGACATATCTGCCTGAAATATCTGAGTTTTCCCAACCCAGGAAGAAAACACACAAACCAACCTTATCATAGGCCTGGCAGATTGGCTCAGAGAAATTCTGTAATTCAGACGCGGTAGGGGAGGCACCTCTTAACTCTGGAAACAACCCTCCGTGCCCCCGGAAGGGACACCTTCCCAGAAGCCCTCCTGTCCCTGGTCTGGGGCTCACCCTGATTCGCTCTTCTTGTTCCCACCCAGCTGCTTCCCTGGGAGATGAGTTTGGTGACACACCGGAAGCCACAGGACAGCCATGGCCTAGAACAAGGCTGGTGCTTCGCCTGCCCTCATCCCTAGCTTCTGGCCCCTAGGGGCCAGAAGCCCACCCAGGATCAGCAGCTTTGGGGGATGTTGCCCCCACTTCCAGCCAGCCCCTTAGGTCTCTGCTAGCCTCCCTAGACCAGCTGGCTCCCCACTCCCACCACAGCCTGAAGGGATGTTAAGAGGAAGTGCAGGCTGGAGCTACTGCTGAGTTCTCTCATCAAACATCCACAAGTTCCTCCTGCTTCCCCTGTGGTTGGGTAGAAAGGTCAGGAAGGCCTCAGCGAAGGAGCAGAGACGCAAAAGCTCAGCTGTAGGGACAGTGTTAATGCTCCAACAACGGCAAGATTAAATCCAGGTACAAGCTACTTGTTCTGAGAACCCAGAAGAAAAGGTGCTGAACTCTTGGGTGTGCCTGGGAAGGCCTTGTGGAGGACTTGGCATTTGAAATAGACCTTGAAAGGTGAACAGGATTTCAACAGAAAGATTTTGCTGCTGCTTTAAACGATACCCATAAAGTGAGGTCAGAGATTCTACCTGCCCTTTTTATTATAGTAGTTGGGTGCTCGAAGGCAACATCATGGATTTGAGTTGGGCTTGAATTCGGGGTGTGATAACCCAGGGTGGGGGGGACCTTCACATGACTTCTGTGTCCCTCTATTTTCTTTCTTGTTTTGAATTTCTTTTTTTTTTAATTTATTAATTTATGTATTCAAGAATTGGGGTGTAGGACAGAGAGAGGATTCACCAGAGACAAAGTGGGAAGCAGGACAGGCAGATGTACTGAAATACTGCTGAGGGGAGCAGCAGAGGGGTCAGGAAAGGTCTCCTGCACCCTGTGGGTCTGCTCCCTGGCCAGGGATAGAACTTGGGCTCTAGTGGCTGGTGACAGCTGGATCTTGCTGTGGGTTTAACCCCTGAGCCCCCAGGGAGACTGCCCCTCTGTTTTCTTGGTGGTAAAATAAAACAGGGGCCATTTCAGAGTCGCTGAGAAGATGAAGCCACTGGACCCAAGGACTCTTGCTACCTGCTGGGCACTCAGCCCACGGGTCTTGGGCAGAGGTGGCTAACGTGGTATTTTGCAAGGAGCTCGCACAGCATTTTAACTTCCTGACGTTTCGTCATGGTCCTGCTCATAGTCCAGCGATGGCAGGTATTCCCGACCCCATTACACATCGCACGCAACACCCACTCTTGGGGAGCTGAGCCGTGTATGCAGCGCTGCCCTTGGGTGCAGAAGCTGCACCCCAGTTAGCAGGGAACCGCGTTTCCCTGGACTGTCTCTGGGCGGCACTGACGATTCCAACTGCCAATGGTCTCATGCCCATTTTCAAGTGCGGTCTGAGGCATGTTATTTACATTCTCTTATAAAATGCAAGCCCATCTCTTTACAGCATGGGAAAATGAGGTCCAGGAATCCACATTCAGAACTGACTCGTGATCACAAAACTTGGGAAACTGAGGGCTGTGGTCCTGCCGTTCCCTCCACCTGAGCTACCTGTGCTCAGAGACCTTGCTCCATAGCATCTGTGTTCAGAGCCTGCTCCTCAGGGCGGCGTTTCCTGGCCCGCCCGCCTAACAGCAACCTCTGCCACCCTCTCGTCCCTAAAGTCCTGGCGGCCTTCAGTGCTGGCACGTTTATTTGGCCCCACTACAACTATGAGCTTCGGTAACATGCCCATTTCACGCTGTCCCTTCAGAGCCTCGAGGGTCACCGGCTGTGGAGTTTAAGTACTTGTGAAGCTAGCGGCTCTTCTGGCCCTCAGAGACTGCCCTGGCCATGAGCGCCGTTTGCTGGGTAGTTCCATCTGGTCCTCCTTCTGAGCAGAGGGAGCATCGGGCTTCTTGCTCCTGTACCTCAGAGGCCACGAACCCATCATGGGCCACTACGCAACACAGTCCCATTCTGACAGGTCCCTGGGTAATTCTATCATTGTGCTAATGTGCACAGAGTGCAGTTACATAGAAAGTGTGGCCCCACCCCCAGGCTGTGTGGTGTGGCCCACCCGGCCCATAGGTGTCCTGGTCAAAGAGCTGGGAGCTGAAGCTACAGGGACTCCCAGAGCTGCTGCCGGGCCTGGCACTGTCTTCTTCTCTCTTGTGTAGTGACCGGAACTGGGGGCCAGGTGGCAGTTCCATGAGTGCCTTGCTGGGGAGTGTCCATGCCAATCAGTGAAGGACATGCAGTGTGAGTAGCAAAAGAGCTTGTGATTCAAAGCGCTGAGACTGGGTTGTTTACGCTGTGAGACCTGACCTCCCTGCCAGCCCAGTGCTCCCCCTGTCAGAATCCCTGGGCGGTGGAAATATCTGAAGTGGGAATTTCAGGCAATTCCAAATGCCTCAAAGCCAAACAAACCCAAAATTTCCACTTCAGAAACTCAGGCCGCACTCTGTCCTGTTGTTTTCCTTAAGGGCTCACCCAGTCGGGAACCAGCACATTCTGGGGTCAACTCTGTGGTGACCCCACATGCACCACACGCTCAAACACTGTCATAATCCTTGTCCTTGGTCCAGAAGAAAACAGCACACGCGCTCTTTGGGAGTGAGTCACACACAGAAAACTGTGGCTGTGAGGATCTGCTCACCCAGGGAAACTCCCGGTGGATGGTGTCTCAGCAGACGGTGGGCTTGACTGGCGTCCTCCGGGCCCACAGTGAGACTGAGCAGAGGTAGTGCTTCTGCGTTGCATGTGTGTGTGTGTGTGTGTGTGTGCACATGTGTGGTGGGGACAAGGGACTGTGCTGGGACAGAGGGCAGCAGAGGAGGTGAGTCACAGGCAGGGAGTCTCCTGCTAGGGCTTGGGGGAGGCAACTACCTCCCCTGACCTTAATCTCTTGGCCCAGGGAGATGAACCTTAAGATAACTTGATGAACTTTTTTGGGTTGGTTGCATAGAGTTATGTTATCTCCATTTTTCATCTCTGTTCCCATCCCAGAAGCCAAGTACAGGGTCTGGCCTTCCACGATCTTCAGCCCTGAGAGCGGCCCATTCCTCCTCCAAATTAGAGTTGCTGCAGAGACACCAACCCAGGGCAGTTTCCTGCACGGCTCAGGCCACTGGGAAGAGGGTTATGCCTGGTGATTCCAGAGAGCACTCCCTGTGCAGGGCCAGAGGGGAGAGTGTCCCGGGAGCCCCTCTCATGGGCACATGGGCTGTGCTGCCCAGCTCATCCTTGGTGTGGAGGATACAAAGATGGAGATTGCCAGCCATTCTTTAACAAATGCCATTTCAAACTGCTAAATTCCTTGCTTGGTCCCTTCTTAACACACCAAGCTGCCATCCAGAACTCCAGCGTGGCCCACACCCTGGACCTTGTCCAGCCCACTCCTACGAAGGAGTCTTAATGCAGAGCGATGGGTGGAGAGCAGAGAACAGGCACAAGAGAACAGGTATAGGCAACACAGGTTTCTTTAACCACCCTGAGAGAACTGCTTGCAGGAAAAAATGTGGGAGAGGTGGGAATGAGAGATCACAAAGGCAGATTGGACTTTCTTTTAATCATTCGTTTAAAAGCATCCAGGAACAGAATCCACTATGGATTTTTCCCTTTTGTTCCCCACAGAAGATCAGCTGTCCTATGGGGGGAAAAAAAGAGAAGCCCATTCTCTTATCACCGTCTTAGCTCCTCAAAGTGGAGTCCCTGGAACACTGGCATCAATGCCACCTGGGGGCTTGTTAAGAATGCAAAACCAGCCCTCCCTGGTGGCACAATGGGTTAGGACGCAGCACTGTAAGCTGGCCACAGCCACTTCAGTGTGAGTTTGATCCCCGGCCCCAGAGGTGACCCACATGGCGTGGCAGACCTCTCCTGACCTGCCCACTGCTCCCCTCAGCAGTGTACTTCGTTGATCTGTCTGTTCTGTTCCCCACTGTCTCTGGTGAATCCGGTCGCCGCCCCTGCACCTCTGGCCTATACCCCAGTTCTCTGTGCATAAATAAATAAATCTTTAAAACACACACACACACACACACACACACAAAACCTCTTAGTCCCTGATACTGACTCCTAGCTCCAAGGTGGAGTCCAGCACCCTTTGAGATAACAGACTTCCAGACAATTGTGATGCCTGTGTTTGGAAACCACTGATGTGGAGAAAGCACAGTTCAGATGGTGCAGATGAAGGTAAAGAGGGGTGCAGGGTGGCTCCTGTCAAGCTCCCCACCTCATCTCCTTTGTTCGTTGTGTCACTGTGGGCAGCTACAGGCCACAACCCAGCTACACAGAAAGCTCCTTATGAGGTGAGGTGCTCCAGCCTCTACTGTGATCCGGGCCGTGTATTGTCCTCGGCTTCAACTTCCCTGGCAGGTGACTCCATTCTGGCCACCACTGTGGAGGAGAAACCATGAGCCAGTGCAGGCTGGGAATTCCCAGGCCACCAAACTCTAGAGAGTTTAGGAATTACCTAAAAATTACCTCCAAAGGGAAAACACAAAGCAAAAGTGAATATTCAGCTACCAGACACCAGGGGGAGACCATTTCTCCTGGGAAGGAGAGAGGAGCCTGCATTTTAGAAGAATTCAGACTCTTGCCAAAGTTGGTTGCTAAAACGACCTCTGCTGAAAAACAAAAATGACCAAAGGGCCCCAAGTCTTAAGCAGTGACCAGGGAGTCAGAGTGGGGGAGCTGCCGAGGATGGCAAGATCATCTTCTTGAGTCCCCATCCCCAGACCACTGACAGCAGCAAACCTGCAGAAGCTGGGAGGGGCCTAGCTTGCCACTGGGTCTGTGACAGGACACAGGCAAAGATCTAAGCGGCCTGGGCTGGCCTGCTCCCCAGCTGAGAGACGGGGCTATCTTCATAGGTAAAGTGCTGATCAGGACAGGGCAGCCTACAGAATTTGCCAGATGCAGGGTGGAGAGAAAATGCCGAACAGTGTGTTCAAAATTTTAAAACTTGGACTTGTTTTAAAAGTCAAATCTTCAAGATGGGACAGAAGAACTTGGGGGGCGGGGCTGAGCTAGTCCCGGTGCGGCTAGAAAAGGGTTCTCTCTTTAGGGCCCACCGGTGAACTGCCCCGATACAAACAGGGCTGCGGGGCTGGTATTTCCGCAGTAATCACTGGGCAGCTATGGGGAGAGGGGGCTCTAACTTCAGACGCCTCCAGCCGCGGGGTACTGGACTCGCGATCCGATTGCCATACCCCGTCTTCCCGGAAAGCAACGTCCTACCCGGCAGGGCTGCACAGAGGGGAAATCCAATCAGAGCGAAAGTCGCACGCGGACAGCGCCGCGCTGCCAAGGCGGCGTCCAGAGGTCAGCGCTGGAAGCGTCCCTGAGCGCGTCCCTGCGCGTCACGCGACTCGGGCTGCAGCGGGAGCGCCGAGGGAGCCGGGCTTTCCCGGCCCACGCGGGCTGGGCTGGCGATCGGGCAGCGGAAGCGCACAGGGGCACCTCCCTGCGGGAGGTCAGCGGGAACACCGGGAGGGTGGCGGCGGCGGCCCCCAGACGGGTGACCTCTCCAGAGACCCGGCCTGGGCACGTTCCTCACCCCTCCCCTCCAGCCAGCTCCCTCACCAGGGCGTGTTGGCGGGCGGGGAGGAGGGTCGTCTCGGGTCGGGAAAAGTGATGGGAGAGCGCGAGGGGCCAGGCTGCAGGTGGACGCCCCGCAAAAAGGCCTCCTTTGAGTCGTCCTGCACAGAGCCTTTCACCCCGAAATCCTCCGGCCGTCCCGCAGGGTGGGCTCCTGGAAGGCGCCCCTAGCCGCACCAGCTCGGCGCCCCCAGCCCACCCCGCGGCCCCCGGGGCGGTCCCTCCTGCCTCCGCGCGCCGCCCCGCCCCTCGCCCCGCCCCTCGCCCCGCCCCTCCGGCTGCGGTCCCTAAAAGGGCGCGCGGGGCCGGGGCCGCCCTTCTCTCGAGGCGACTCGGGAGAGAGCCGCGGCGGAGCCCGGCCGCTCTCCCGGCATGGCCATGGCGTCCCCGGCCATCGGGCAGCGCCGGTATCCGCTGCTCTTAGACCCAGAGCCGCCGCGATACCTGCAGAGCCTGAGCGGCCCCGAGCCCCAGCCGCCGCCCGCGACCCGGTCCTCGCGCCGCTGCTGCCCCGCGCCCCTGTCCACGGCGCTCGAGGGACGCGGCGCTCGGAGAGCCTCCCGGGGGGACCCGGAGCCCCAGTCTCGGGCCTCCAGACCTGCGCGTGCCCTCCGGCCTGGTCTGCAGCCGAGACTGCGGCGGCGGCCTGGGGCGCCCCGGCCCCGCGACGTGCGGAGCATCTTCGAGCAGCCGCAGGATCCCCGCGTCCCGGCGGAGCGAGGCGAGGGCCACTGCTTCAGCGAACTGGCGCTGCCGAGCGGTCGCGGCTGGTGTGACCTGTGCGGACGCGAGGTGCTGCGGCAGGCGCTGCGCTGCGCCAGTGAGTGTGAGGGCAGGGCTGGGAGGGGTGCGGAGAGACCGCAGCCTGCGGGTGGGCGAGGGACTGCAGCGGCTGGGGTTGGGGCGAGGGGCATTGCCCTTGGGCTCGGGGGAGACGCTGCCCCTTAGTCTCCCGCCCAGTGCCAGGGTCTGTTAGCAATCGTCTGCTGCCAGGAATGGCTACACCGATTCAGCATAACCTCGCCCCCCCCCCCCCGCCCCCCGCCCCGAAAGGTGCAGTCTCTGGCCTCCCTGGACACACACAACTAGGCAGGTTGGGGTATGGCCCCAGCAACAGGGTCTCCTCCTGTTGTCTCCCCAGCACCCTCTGGCTTTTGTTGTAGATTCTTGGGTGTGCGTGGTGAGACTGGTGTGGAAAGGTCGTTGGACCCCAGCTGTTAGGGTTAATACCAGTGCCTGTTGCCTGTGGTGCCTGTCAGGCGTGCATGTGGGCTGATGTCACACCCCTCTGCAGGGTTACCTGTTGAAACAAGGAGGAGACCATTAGACTGTGGAGGGAAACAGAGGTGGTGATGAAGAAGAGCCAGAGGTCACCCTGGACCTGTGCCCCCTCCTGATTTCTACCTCTGGCCCCTCAGACCTTTGGACTCTGGTGTTTGGCTGTGTCCTGCTTCCTAGATGACTCTACCTGCCAACAGGCTCTGCAGTTGCCCAACTCCCTGCCTCTGCCTACCCCCCTCCACCCACCTCCCCATGTCCCCCAACCTCCTCCTCTCCTCTTGTGCTGGCTTTTCTCAAAGCCTGATATGTGGATCTTAAGAAATTTGCAGTCTTCTTGGGGGTTGTTTTTCTCTTCCTGCAGTTCCGTGTGTGTATTCCACTAATGGGTGTCCCCCCACCCCTACCACCTTACCCACTGTTGCTGTGTTTGGCAGAATATCACACTCATGTGTTTATGTGTCTATATGGATATTTTAAATATTTGAAGCACAGACAATGGCACAACCCCTCACAAGCATCTCTGGAACTGGGTTGAGATTGTGTCTTTCAGCAAAGGCCCTTCCCCCACAACAGCAGCCCTACGGCTCCCTCCGCTCCCTCGCTCCCTCCAACTACAACACTGGACAGGAAAGCCCTACTCCCTCATCTCTCGCCTCTCTCCTGAGGTTCAGAGCCTGGGCTGCCAGGGCGCTGTCCCTCCCACTGCAGCTGGGTCTGGGATGGAGAGCGCAGGCTGAGCCAGCCAGGGTCCAGGGGAAGGGGAAGATGGCAGAGATGGCAGGGCCAGTGGCTGCTGCTCTCTCTATCAGCAGAGCTCACAGTTTAGGTTCCAATGAAAAAGGAAAGCGCAGCCCATTTAGAGGCTGTGCTGTCACTTGGTAAATACCCTTGACCTTATAGTAGAGTCCAGTGCAACTTGCCCACAGATGGTTTGGCAGCTTCTGCCCTCTTATGGTCCTGCCATCCTTGACGGTGCCCCCCCAACCCCTACATGCAGAAGGAGGCAGTGTCTGCTCTGTAACGTTATGTGTGTAGCTGAAACTCCAGGAAATCGCTTCATTGCAATTCTTTGAGCTAAGACACTGGGGGGCTACATCAATTGCTGAACATTTTGAACAGTTTTGATTGATGTGGGGGTTGGTGATAACGGTGTACCCGTGTGTGTGTGTGTGTGTGTGTGTGTGTGGGTATGTGTGCACGTGTGTGCGCCCTACTCCATGACTGGATGAGTTTATGCTCATTTCACATTACAATTGTGTACTTCCTTTGATTAGCTCATCAACAGTCTCCTGGAGACCAAGGTGCATGGGCAGTTCCTCTGACTGTGTGTGACTTGGCAAAATCTTTTCACTTTTCTTGGTGTCTGTGTCCCCCACATAGTTTAATGCCAAGTGGGGGTGTCTAAAAACCAGAGAGGGAGCAGAGCTGGAATTAAGGGGCGACAGAAAAGTGCATCTGTTTATTATTATTAATAGTTAACTAAGAGTGGACTCGTGGCTGGATGAGACAGTTGAGAAATGTTCTGTGTGCAAATGGGGACTGGTGGATGGAGCTATCACAGACCCAACATCTGTTGTTTTTTTAAAGGTTTATTTACTGATGCATACAGAACTGGGGTACAGGCCAGAGGTGCAGGGAGTGAGAGGATTCACCAGAGACAGAGTGGGGAGCAGAACAGGCAGATGTACTGAAATACACTGCTGAGGGGAGAGCAGGTATGACAGGAGAGGTCTGTTGCACCCTGTGGGTCAGCTCCCTGGCCGGAAGTAGAACTTGTGCTGCAGCGGCTGTGGCCAGCTTCATAGTGCTGTGCTTTAACCCATTGCACTGCCAGCCCTGAGCATGTTTTTAATGCTGAAGATCTAGTTCCATAGTGGGGTGGGTTTGTTTTGTTTGTGTTGAAAAACAATGATGTAAAAAATATTACTTTAAAAGGCAACGACTAAGCAAAGGGCCCAGAACCAGAAGACCTGGTTTGATCTGCACCTTCTTCTCTTCGTGACCCTGGGAATCTCCATTTCCCACTTCCTTATTTTAAAACATGCATGGGAGGGCCCTCCCTGGTGGCGTGGCGTGTTAAAGCACAGCACTAAGAAGCTAAAGCCACTTCAGCATGAATTCTATCCCCACCCCGGAGGTGACCCACATGGTGCAGCAGACCTCTCCTGGCCTGCCCGCTGCCCCCTTCAGCAGTGTACTTTGTCAGACAGCCTGTTCTGTTCCCCACTCTGTCTCTGGTGAATCTTCTCACCTCCCCTGAGCCTCTGGCCTGTACCCCAGTTTTGTATGCATAAATAAATAAATCTTTTTTTTTAATGCGTGGGAATAATATGACTAAGTAACATGTTAACATGAGAATTAAATGAATTGATATATGGAAGGTGCTTAGAACAGTGCCTGGAAAATGCAGTGGGAGCGTTGCAGGAGACAGGACCCACTCGCCTTCCCGCCCAGCAGCGTAACAGTGGGATCTGTGACTTAGGAACCTTTCCAAGTGGTGACTTTGCAAGCTCTGCCTGGCTGTTGAGTTAAATGCGGAAGCCAGTCTTGAGCATCCCCAAAAGTTCAGGCATTAAGTGTCCTCTAGAAGTACCATTCTGCCTCTGCATCCTGGGGTGCTTCTGTGGCTGAGGGGTGCCTCGAAGGGTGGCTTTGAGGTCATGGAGGCTTCGGTGCCTTGTCTTTGTGTCACTTGCATACAGCAGCTTCCGACCAGCAGTTTGACTCTGAGGGCTTCGGCTTGGCCATGGCGGAAAGACACTTCTGACTTTGAAGCAGAAGTGCTTTATTACTTTCAGTACCGTATTCCAAAAATGCAATAGTCAACTCTGGATTATAAAGTAGGTTTGTGTTAGATGGTCTTGCCTAAGAGCAGGCTACAGTGCGTCTGAGTGCTTTTATGGTGGGTGAGGCTAAGCTGGATGCCCGGGACGCAAGGTGTAGCAGATGCGTTTTGACTGACAATGCTTTCAGATTTTCAGCTTATGCTGCGTTTATCAGGACGTAACCCCATGGTAAGTGGCTTGTCTATACCATTAAATCTCCTTGCTCCTGCACACAGGTAGGAGAGCAGGCAGAGAATGCATCTGTCTGAATGGGAGGCTCACCCTGCGTGAGGCTGTGTGGGCAAAGTGGGCTTTTAATAAGGGGAGGCTTAGAAAACTGTCTTTCTGCTGTTTGCCTGTCTTTTGGGTGATTTTCCCTCTAAATTAAACTCACGCCTTCTTTGAGTCCTGGTTAATGCTGGACTGACCCAAAAGAAAGATCAGACTTTATATAAACTTCCAGGAAAATTGATTTGTTAAAGAAGTGAATCTAGTGGGGAATGGAGAGAAGAGAGGGAAAGGAGGAGAGGAGGGAAGGAGAGGGGAGGGCAGAAGAGAAAAGGGGAGGGGGAAGAGGAAAGGAGAACACGGGGAGTGGGGACAGACCAGGAGAATGTGAGAATGAGCCTGATTGCTCTGGGGTAGCAGTGTGCCCTACCCCACAATATTCTCCTTTCCGGAATTCCAGGACCAATGGCCACCAGCCAGGGACAGAAGCTCACCTTTGTTCTCAGGAATCCCCTCCCCAGCAGGTGCTTAGAGCTGACCTTTTACCTTTCCTCTTGTTCTGGTGGTGGTATCAGCCACTGTGGACCAGGGAATGGTCTGGAAAGTGGGAAACCTAAATCTGACTCAACGCCGGGTGGGTGTTGGGGGGAGCTGGAAGACTTGGCAGGTGAAGAAGTGAAGGCTCCGAGTAGGCCTGTCCTGGGGAGGCAGGCTGTTCAGAGCCAGGGGTGCCCGGGGCGGGAACTGTAAGGTTGAGAAGCAGACCCCAGGCTGCCTCCTGTGACAGACCCGGTGGTATGTGGCTTTGGTCACTGAGCCTTCCGGAAAGGGACGGGATTCTCGGCTGGTGTCTCACAGGGGCCTTGTCCGTTCTCTGCAGCACTAGTACCTGGGCTTCTCCAGGCTCCCTGCATGGACAGGAGCCCAGTGGATGGTCCCCGGCCCTTCAGAACCAGGCCGCATCTTGGGTTCTTCATAGAAGAGGTTTCTGGGACACTGACGTTGAGACTCCCTGTAGAAGGCCTGGGACCCACGTGTGCTCTTGGGAGGCAGGGGCAGCTTCTCCCGTATTCCAGCAGCGCTGAAGGTTGTGACTTCAAGTATTTTCACTGATTGGAGGCCTTGTTCAGCTTTGTGGGCTTAAGGAAATTTGACAGTGAAAGGCACTAACCCCTGTGGCTCTAATTGGGGTTTCCTTGGAAAAGTCCTGTTGGAGTGTGTGTGTGTCTGTGTGTGTGTGTACACATAGAGAAAGGACCTAGAATGATTTGAAAGAGGCCTTCTGAGGTCCCTCAACTGTATCTTCTCCTCCTGCTTCCTGTCTTCTCCAAAGATGAAAGTGAAAGGATTAAATGTGGGCTTCACCCGTCCACCCCCCCACCCCCCACCGACTCATCAGAAGCTTGAAATTTTCTGATTATGAAGTGAGGGGGATTGAATCCCAGGTACAGTCAAAATGATTAATGCCACTTGTCTGCCAGACTAA